TGAACAGTCAGTATAATATTCAGTTGAACAATCCCTTGGAATTTCAAGCTGAACAGTCAGTATAATATTTAGTTGAACAATCCCTTGGAATTTCAAGCTGAACAGTCAGTATAATATTTAGTTGAACAATTCTTTGGAATTTCAAGCTGAACAGTCAGTATAATATTTAGTTTAACAATCCCTTGGAATTTCAAGCTAAACAATTACTTGGAATTTCGAGTTGAATAAATGATTGGAATTTTAAATTGAACAATCCCTATGATGTCCAGTTGATGAATCCCTTGGAAATACAAGTTTCAAAATCCCCTGAAACTTCAAGTTGAGCAATCAAGAAGAAATCTTTTTGAATTTAAAGTTGAAGAATCTGTTGGCTACTTTTTAGATTTTTTCTCGGTAATCAGAGAGAAATAATGATTTGAAGGGGAAAATACATTTGATTTTGACGTTAAGCATCAAGGAGGTGAAACATCTTAATCCTAACATTTTTGAAGATTCTTTAAAAATATACATTAGTTGTAGCTATTAATTTAGAGTAAAATTTTAAGAAAGAATCCAAGTTGTTTAATAGTTTCTGCTGCAGATTCTATATCTTCTGTTAGATCAATTTACCTTGAGAATCCAAGTTGTTTAATAGTTTCTGCTGCAGATTCTATATCTTCTATTAGATCAATTTACCTTGAGAATCAAAGTTGTTTAATAGTTTCCACTGTAGATTCTATATCTTCTGTTAGATTAATTTACCTTGAGAATCCTAGTTGTTTAATAGTTTCCACTGTAGATTCTATATTTTCGTTGGATCAATTTACCTTGAGAATCCAAGTTGTTTAATAGTTTCTGCTGCAGATTCTATATCTTCTGTTAGATCAATTTACCTTGAGAATCCAAGTTGTTTAATAGTTTCTGCTGCAGATTCTATATCTTCTGTTAGATCAATTTACCTTGAGAATCCAAGTTGTTTAATAGTTTCTGCTGCAGATTCTATATCTTCTGTCAGATCAATTGCTCTGTGGAAGGTAAGCTCGCACCCTGAGGTAAAATAACATAAAAAATTAGATTGACACACTTATTTGTCAATCCTACCAAATTGAACCCTTGATGCCTTATAAATGCTTAAACCACTTAAAACTTATTAACACTTGATTCAACCTCTTTTCAGGCAATTTAATTTGAACCAATTGTTATGAAACAGAGTAAAGTAGATTAAAACAATTAGATCTCGGTACTTTAATTATTAACCTTGGCTGTATTTTCTAGCGGTGTTAATGAGTCTAGAACAGAGGACTGAATCCACCTGAAAAATGATAATAAATGCCATGGAAGAGTCTTCATTTTAAAACTCAATAATCAATATGCATCTTTATAAATTTACTTTGTTTGCTAGTTTGTTCCCAATAAACCACTTAATTAAGCTCAACATTTTGTCTTGGACCTTAGATAAGCCCCAGTGGACAGTTCGAATAAAAAAACGGAATTTTAAAAACGCCCTTTTACCAAATCTCAAACCCATTGTGAATTCCCTAAATAATGAATGAGTAATAGCCTTCTTCCAGCTTGTGATAGATATTTACACTTTATATTTACTTTGTACAAATTTTGACCAGCAATAATCTAATGCATTGTTAAAAATAATAATTCACAAAACCTATCACAAATCAAATCATGGAAAGTATGTACTGCTTTAAGCTCCAACTAACAGAACAAGGTTTCTAACGCATATTTGTTGCATTAACAAGCATTAACTATAACGTTATGAAAACTTAACAAACTAGAACAAAAACAAAATAAAACCTATAATTATTTGTTCTATAACAAGGGAAAGGTGTAAGTGAGCGAGGGAGGAGTACGAATCTATGTACATTTCTTTTGGTTGGCTTGACCTCAATTGATTTAAAGATTTAAGTTAGTTGGGGGGGGGGGGGCTATTCGACACTTTGTGACACCAAATTTTGTACATGCTGCGGTTGGTCCTAATAATTCAGATAGAAGGCTGAAATTTTGCATGCAGCCTCTAATTATGGTCATCTACAAAGATCACGAAGAAAATTAGAGATAGGAGGACATTGACCTCTATTTTGACCTACATGAACTCAGAAAATACGGGAAAATACCAATGTTTTACTCTAATTCAAATATTATACGTCAATCAGAAATGTTTTCATATTTTTTGCTACCACATATGTCATGCGTTGATATAGACACATATATCCAACCTCCATATTGACCTACCTTCGATAATGACCTCCAAAAATGATCAAAATATTAATTCAATGAAAATAAGTCGTGTAAGGTATGAAATCAATCATGGGTTTTTTGGTATTCCGATTCCATTCTTGATTTCTAGGATTAAGCACCCTAGAAGCCTGGTGAAAACTAATTTATTACAACTAGTAGGAGATAAAATCTAACCTTTCCATCTTTAGTTAGGCAGCCGAACACCAAACCATCAGCTCCAATTTCTAACAAAAAAATCTTCAGTTGTTTAGAAATATTTGATTGGTAAAAATATTAGTATTTGTAAAGTGCTATCCATAACACTGTGGAATGACTGTCGTCTGCGTTCTTTATATTAAATCCAATTTTTAAGCAAGGATTTACTTATTATTGAAAATGATCGAAGCAAATTTATTAGAGTTTCAAATATCAATAACGAATTTTTGGACGATATTTTCACAATTACAAGAGAAAACGAAAACAAGAATGGGTTTTATTTTTATTTTAGTATAATTGCAACGGGAAACATTACAGTGAGACCCATAAACTGTGGAATAGAAGGACGACATTTAATATATTTTATGTGTATTTGTGTTTTAAGTAAAAGATGTCCTTGAACTTTTCACAGCTTCTGTGTTCAATGTTCATTAATCTGTAAATCTAACAGTCGTCTTTCTATTCAAGTCCCACTGTAGGATGAGAAGTTTATCAAAGTATGCAACATGTATAAAATGAAGAAGAAATATTTTAGAGTTAAAAACAAAAAACACCTAAGAGAATTTTGATGTCCTCCTCCATAACTTGTACTTCGAGTTCATTGTACAGAAAATCTCCATCTCGAGGCCTGCGTTTAAAAATTATATTTATTAGAATAAGTTTTGATCTACAGCGAGAGTCAAATAAGCGATGTTATATACAAAATTTTAAAAATCATCACCAATCCAGTTTTTCTATTTATCATGTGTTTCTAAAAAGGAATAAAAAGACGGTACAAAAGAGGAAAATAAGAGTAGAAAATGACAAATATAATAAGAGTTTGTCAAATTTTTAGTCTTGTTTTCAAACAACTGGCATGAATAATAATTAAGATACCTGATCACACAGTAAACTGGAGATACCTGATCATACAGTAAACTGGAGATACCTGATTATACAGTAAACTGGAGGTACCTGTTTATACAGAAAACTGGAGATACCTGTTCAAACAGTAAACTGGAGATATCTGATCATACAGAAAACTTGAGATACCTGATCATACAGAAAACTTGAGATACCTTATCATACAGAAAACTGGAGATACCTGATCATACAGAAAACTGGAGATACCTGATCATACAGAAAACTGGAGCAACAATCTGGGATTTGATTATTTTGAGAAGACCTGCAGATGGAGTAAGTCCACCCTCGCTAAACAAAAATACTAATTATCAACAAAAATAAAAAAAAAACTTCAGCCATAAATCTATATACAAGTGGCTAAAAAGCAACCAAAATTTTCAAAAATTGTCCTTAACCCCAAAATTTTATATCATAAGATATAGAACATTACATACAGTCATAATCAGTAAGACCCGGAAAAAATTGACAGCTTATCAGGCGACTTTAAATACAGATCTCTGGCAATTTTAAATGCTCAAAAAAGGCAGACCACATTTTGGAAACGGCAGGACTACGGCTATTTTGTGACTATCGTTTCATCAATAATATTTCTAAAATTAAATTGTAAAGTCATCTGATTAATTAGAAATTAAATCAGGGTCTTTCTGATTAGGACTGCATAAGAAAAATTATTTTGAATTAATTTAGATTACTAGCCTTAGAGGGCGCTTCGCACCCATCTTCTAAATTAATTGTGAACATGTTCTCTTTGTGTACATCGTAAAACAAAACAAAAATAATTCGCGGATTTTCACAAAAAATTCGTGGATTTTCAATATTTTCAAAAATTTAATGAAGATTGAATTTTGATGGAGACAAATATTTGAAATTTTGATCATTCATAAACCTTCCCTAGGGTCCCTAGATGTCCCACAAAAAATTTGGGCCCGATCGGTTCAGCCGTTTTGACGTTTATTGGATACAAACAAACAAACAAACAAACAGACACCCGAACAGACAGACAAGCCAAATTTATATATAGATAATTGGATAAACAAGTCTTTAAGCTAGATCAGGATCCAAAGAACAAATCAATGGGACTGATTTTAACAACGACTCTTGTGCGAAAGAAAGTAAAAAATTAGACGTACTTACATACTACATATATAAAGTCCCGAGTTTTGAATCCATTTTGCTTCGAACTATTTTTTACAAAATAGGTCAAAAACATTAAACACTTAAATAATATGTTTTAGCAAGAGTTAATAAATAAAAAATTTATCATCATAATTACTTGTCAGGAAATAACAAAAAACATGTATTGATAATTAAATTGAACCTTAATGCACTGCACAACTCTATTCTCTTTACTCCACCACGTACAGCATTCAGTGCTACAAGAAGTAAACTGTTAACATGGGGGAAGGGGGGTGGGGAGCAATTTTTTATCTTTGCTAACTATATAACCAATATACTAGCATTTCTGATTATTTATGAGAAAAAGACGCAGAATCTAAGAACTCAGTCAAGAATATCATTTAGAAGACGACATTCTATCTGTCGATAAAATTCTTGTGCTACATTCATTGATTAAACTACTGTCGCGTTTGTACTACTGAACTTTTGAACAAGTGCTTATTTTAACTACGTGTGTAAGTAAGTATTTGAATTGAACACATGTAAAAAAGAAGATGCGAATTTAAATTAAGTTTTTTAACATATATCCTGAAAATAAAAACCAAAAATTAAGGTAAAAATGGTTAAAAGGCAAAAAAAATTGAACCTAATCCACAGGTAATTACGTCATGTCTGTAATGATAATGAAAAATTTTTTGTTCATTTATTTATAGTTCAATTGAATTAGTCCAAATTTATCACCACTCATTTTTGTTTTTAAAATGTTTTCGTCTTATCTCTGGTAGTCTTTAAGCCTTGCAGTAGAGTGACTACGTGTAGACTGTAGTGTAGAGTTTAGCATATGAAATACAACTAATAAAAAAGTCAGGAAATATTGATAATATTTGAAAAGAGGCAATATGATGATACAACTTATTTTACCCCTTTAGTTATTTGATTTTGTGCATTTTGTCCCCTAACATTTATTTTACTTATCCAAGGATGAGGATTGAGGGTCTTTATTTCACCCTCTTTATAATCCCTACCTGACTGCACGCAGTCAACACATGCTTCCATTTTATCTGGAAAAAATTAGTTTGAAAATATAATTTCAAATCATATTATCTAGACTTCGGTCACAGAGATTTTAAAATAAATAAGACGCTTAAATGAACATGGGTTAATGATTATTTAATATACTGATTATATTCTCATAGCGCCAACACAGAGCAATCATCTTAACGGATTCTTCGGGACTTCCTATTATTCTTGAGACCATATTTCTTGGTATTTTTATCAACCTTCTTCTGCGGTTCTACCTTCTCCTCCTCTGTCGGAGCTAGGGGAGAGAAGAACATGAGACCGTCCGTCTCTCCCAGCGTGATAATCGTCCGTCGTCGGAGTTGACGGGAAGAACCCTGATCAGGGGTTGCAAATCCGGAATCTAAAATCATTCAAATTGCATTAAAAATCCGAATTGTAATTTTCAAAATCCTGTCCACTGCTTTTTGCTTTTGATGCGGGAGGTTATTAATTAAAGGGACAGACCGGCTATGTTAGGTAGCTAAACTGAGTATGCAGTGTTTTGGACAAATTCTTTAGGATTCATTTGAGACATATAAAACTTTTTCACGATTTATAATAACTGAGTTTGAGTGCATAGTTGACGTTCAAAATCATGAATTTGGGTCCGGGTACGTTTTCAGAATCGGTTTTTTAAAAATATTAAATAGCGACGACGAAAAATAAAGTAAAAATTATACATTAAACTAATAAGATGGTTAGGAACATATTTCTCAAAAGAAATTTGTCAATGAATCAATGCTAAAATCAGTTATTTCGTTTTCATCATTATACTGAACTTCTTATTTTCTATATATTTATTCGCAGATTTAAAAAACTAGTATCATCTGCAAAGAGGCTGGTAAAAAAAGATGTTGCTAGGGGCAAATCGTTTATATAAAGCAGAAACAGCAGGGGCCCTAGAACACTTCCTTGAGGAACACCACATGTTATAATTCTTTCTGTTGAAAAAGCTCCATTTATACATGAATATTGAGTTCTATTAACAAGATAATTTTTAAACCAGGTGTTGGCTACATTTTTGAAACCATAATGATTTAGTTTTTTTAAACGTATGTCTTAATCACAGCAAGCATTCTTTAAGTCTAGGAATATTCCAAGAGTAAATTCTGTGAATTTGTGAATGATGAGAAACTAGAATAATGAGAAAATAAAAACTAATAATTGAACAAGATTACTTATTTTCCATGATAAGATTAATTTTTATTTTCTCAACCTGTTCCTAAACAACTAATTAGTTTACTGTAAAATTTTGTTAACATCTTTTGTCGTCGTTATTTAATCATTTAAAAAAAACAATTCTGAAAGCGTATCCACACAAAAGTACGATTTTGAACGCTGACTTTACGCTCAAACTCAGGATTTACAGATCTTTAAAAAGTTTTATGTGTCTCAAATGAATCCCATAACACTGCATAGTGCATACTTAGTTTAACTAAGTAACATAGCCGGTTCGTTCCTTTAAGATTTTCTTGGTGTCTTTTTTAATACTTGAAGGAATGTATGTTTAGATTAATGAAATGAAAAGCTAAATTTTCTAATAAACTTTACAGAATTAACTTCTCAAAAACTTACCGGAGAATTTGTTTAACCGCTTAGATGTCGTAACCGCAGATTTGTCTACGCTACAACCAGGCCCGCTGGTGGACTGTCCTAAATTATTAATATTGGTTTATTGGACAATTTTACCCCATTTTCAGAAGATAAATAAGTAAATATAAGTACCTGGTTCCTCTTCTATAGCCTTCAAGCTTGTGACATTATTTAGGGTGGATCGTCGCTTCTTACGAACTGCAACAAAAAAAATTAAAGTTTAGGGAAGAGAAGTGGTGTCCCAAATGATATTAGATTGTAAAAACCTATAAATTGGGGGTTTCAGAAAATCTAAAAGGATTAAATCATTTTCAAAACATGTATTAGGCTAAAATAATAAACCTGCATGAAGAAAAACTAGGTTTTTTAAGTATTCTGTGCGTATCTAAGACAAAATGGAACCCTCAGGCAGGATAAAAAAAGCTCAGTTATGAGAAGAATAAAAAAACACCTGATGGTTTGGTATGTTCTGGTTCAACTTCATGCTGTTCATCTTGATCCAACTGATCCTCTTGATCCTCTTGATCCTCCTGTACAGGGGCCAAGGACACCGGGCTAATTCCTAGCAATATAAAGGATGAAGCAGACATTATTTAGAAAACACATGAAGTAGATTATTTAAATATTAGGACCAAGATCTTCATCCAAGGGGCAAAATATCATCAAAACCAAATTGAAAAAATCTTTTGCTCTCAAAAAACAAACCTTACTGTTAAAAATGAGAATTTAATAAGGGGGGGGGGGCATGAAACGTAATACTCTCTGGAAAATTTAAACAGTGTTTAAACTTTAAACATAACTTAGAATTGTCGTAGGAGGCTGATTTTTTGCATGCTAACTCAGAATTATGTATATTACAAGCATTTTTTGGTTTTGAAGGAATCTGAGCGAAAGTGGGCGCGCGCGTTTTTGACAGTAAATCAATATTAACTTTATTAATTGCACTTGAACATTTTTCCTGACACTCTTGAAACAAATATGCGCTAAAAAAAGGTGGTGTATTTTTCGACCTACGCATATCCTCTATATTACACTTCTGACCTACTTGCACGTGGTTTTCCAGCTGCTTTTTAGCTGCTGTAGGTCTGTTAAACTATAGGTCAGTTGCACCTTAATTCTAAAAACTTTTGTTTGATCCGACCTACTGTAGGTCGGATGTACAATTATTTGTAGGTCGGATAGTCATCGATTGTAGGTCGGATTTACACTTTCTTGCTTAATGTCTAGTGACGCGCCTGCCTAAAGCAGATTATTGAGAAAAACGTACCAAATCTAGAAGAAAAACAATTTCGGATTTCTTTTATTTTTATGCGTGGATTTCGACTTAGGGCGAATCAAGATAAAATGGATGATCGTAACAATTGTTTTGTAAACTGGTAAAAGAATTGTCTAACCTTGTCTAGTACTACCAATAATAACTCCACCATCCGGAGCAGTAAATGAAAGTCCTCCCCGACTTCCAGAATCGTCCAGAATTCCAGAGATTCTTCGACTTCTTCTAGTCGGAGTCAGTGGAGTATCGTCGCTTAAAACCGGAGTATTTCTTAAGGACTTGACTGGAGTTATGAGAGGAATTGTCATAAGGCTTGGAGTTCTTTTCTTCAGTTTGCTTGGAGTTATTAAAGGGGTATTAACTGGAGTACTAACTGATCTTGCAGATTGTCTTGGAATTACTTCTGGTTCCTGGGTTGAATCTGGTTTTGCTGGAGAGGGAGTAGTTTCTCCTCTCATGGATTTTGTTTCTCTAGCTGAGATTTGGACTTCGGTTAATTCAGCGGGAGTATTGCTAAATTGAGATATTTCTGTCTTACGAGGTCGGCCTCTGCGCTTTGGCGGAGATTCAACCTTGGAATCCTCTTCATCCTTTTCCTGTATCTCAGTTATATCAAGGACTGTTACAGGGATAACTAAAGACGGCCTCCTTTTTCTGAGGGATATTGATCCAGTCTCAGTCTCATCTTGTTTGCTAGATTTCCCTGAAGGAGTTAATTCAACCTCCATGGTTGGAACTTGAGATCTTCTTCTCCGAACTGGAGAGGACACAGCCTCAGGTTCAATAAGAACTAAACTAGCTTTTCCTCGTCTTACAGGAGAACTTTCAACCTCAGCAGATGCCTGACGAGTTCTTCCTTGTCTTGAAGGTGTGGAACTAACATCAAGGTCTAGGGCAACAGCACGAGGCCGGCCTCGCTTAGGAGTAGATTTAACCTCAGATTGAACAGACAACTGGGAAGATTTGCTTTTCCTGATACTAGGTGTGAGAGGCGTAGATGGCGTTGGTTTTAATTCAATTATTGATTTCACTACAGGGGTTGCGGATTTTCTAGGTCTTCGCACTCCAACTAGTTCAACAGATTCGACAACTGGAGATTTGGGGCAAGGACTTGAACCTGCTTCTCCTGTCAAAGATTCCTTTTCTGTCTGATCAGGTTCAAGAACAAGTTCTAGTTTATCCTGTGGTTCTTTATCTCCATCTTTGATAATATCTTCCACTTTTGAATCTTCTTTTTTATTTTCAAAATCATTATCTTCATGTGCAATGCCTGTTTCCGAAATCATTTCTTCTTCACTGTTAGAAGATAGTTTTTTATGAGTTTCCTTCTCAGACGCAACATTTTTATCAACTTCATCCTCAGATTGAACAGTTTCAGGATCAATTGTTTCAACATCATTAGTTTCATCTTTGGCAGTTTTAACAGTTCCAATATTAACATCTTGCCCCTTCTCAACAGAAATTTCATGTGTTTCGAGATTTTCAGTATTATCTTCTTTTTTCTCAACAACAGAACTGTCTACTGCAATCGGTGCAGCAGATACTTCAATGGGAGTTATGATTTCTGTCTCGTCAATATCTACCTTTTCTACTTCCTTCTCACAATTGTTTTCTTCCTCCTCATCCTCGCTATCTGACAATGAAAAAGGAAGATCATAATCTGAAGATTTAACTTGATTAGTTTCATTATCAACTTTCTCCTCAATTACTACAGGTGCTTTGGTAGCAAGGTTCTCCATGTTGTCCTCATCTTCTTCCAACATATGCATAGAAACATCTAGAGGCTGAGCAAAGTTGAATGTAGTCTCCTGATTATCAGGTTCAATGTCTGAACCTTCACCCTCGGTATGGGGTACAGAGAAAAGTAATTCCTTTTCTATTTCCTCTTGTAAAACCATTAGTGCAGACTTTTCAGGACGGGGGACTGCAGTCCAGGAGAAGTTTAGTTTCGCGGGTTCTTCTTCATCCTCGTCTTCTTCATCAGATACAGGTTCATCTTCATCCTTATCCTCATTCTTTCCCATAGGTTCATCAACTTCCATATCTTCTATCATTTGTGATGTATCTAGTGGAGCACTCATCTTGAAGACCTGATCAACAATAGCTACCTCTTCAGCTTTATCTGATATAACCTCCGCTTCTGCAAAGATATAACTAGTGTCGTGCTGTGATTCACTCCACATAGAGCCACAAACTGAACTAGCCCTAAATGTTCAGTTCAATTAAAAATTTTAAATCTGCGACCACAGATTAAGTCATTATGATCTAAATAAATAGGAAATAACGGCGCAAATATATTCAAATTTTCTAGTATATGTTAAAGCTATTTAATTGTATATTGAACTCGGTTTGTCTTATTTTACACAGAGTAATATGCTCTGTAAAAAAATATGTCCCTTTTAAAAATGGCAAAAAAATTATTCTTATTACCTTGTAGCAGTAGTGCTGATATCATCGAGTAAATCTCTCATTGAATCCTTCTTTTCAGCATCCTTAACTTCAAGCAGTGCTCTCATATCCACCCTTGCTCCATCCTCATCATTCTTACACTCGTCAGAATCCTCAGTAAAATCATCTGGACGAGGTTCATCAATCCCTAGTTCGTCCTGTCTGATGCTGTCCACCTCAGTATCGGAGATTATCTCGAATGGTTCCTCCTGCTCCGCTATGTCCAGGAACCCTGTCTGAACAACTCCGGAAAACTTCTCTACGTCTGTTGTGACAGAATCGTATGAGAATGAGAGGGCTGAGCCGGGTTTCTTCTCTACTTCCTGGTCCAACCCATCCAGGAGTTCATCCAGACGCTTTTCTTCTTCCTCCACACTACTGATGTTTAAAAATGAGTTCTCTCGAACAGAAGCATTTTCATCCACAAAATCCAAATCAGTACTAAAACAAAGTTTAACATTTTATTATTTAATTAATATTCAGAGCAGCATGAATTTCATTAATTCCTTGTTTATTCACCATAAAATCCATCAAATACCTTAGTTCATAATCATAACTTTACCAAGCATCAGGGGAATAAAAAAATAAGACATTTAATGAAACTATTGTGTACTTTATCATTATTACTCACTTCACCGTGAATTTCATAATGAAAGTGCTAAAAAGTAATCATCGTGCTTTAAAGTTAAATTAGCTGTACATAATAGCAGGTGTGCTGTAAAGTTAAATTAGCTGTACATTATAGCAGGCGTGCTATAAAGTTTTGATTGGTTCCCGAATTTTCTCCCAAAAATTTTGGTTATTTCCAGAATATTTTTTTTAGAAATGAAAATAAAATTGAAATTAACTTTATATTTTAACTCTGCTTTGTTTCAAAGCTTATTTGATCTAGAAACAGCCATTGAAAGAAGACAAGTATACAAACATTTCATAAAATTACCTATAACATTAACACTATTATTTTGGCACGACGTGCTATAAATAAGGACTGGTACGGGCTATTTGAGCAAGCTTAAAGCTGTATGAATTTGTCAAATTTAACCTCCACCTTTCTTATATGACTTCCTTAATCATTTACAATTACAGAAAATTAAAACATCAAATATTGTCCCTTCAAAGTTACTTAAATCTAACCTTAGTTTATTTTGAGGAACGGGTTCAGGTTCAAGATCAAGAATACTCTCATCCTCTGCTGAGGCCGACATTTGAAATGTAGTCTCAGTCGGTAGAATCTTAGCAATAGGTTCTGGTGTACCCGGAGCAAGCAGACTAATATCATCACTTGACACTGACATTCGAAATGGAACTGCTTCAGCTGGTAGAATTTTAATGTCAGGTCCTGGTGTTCCAGGATCTAGCAGACTAATATCATCACTTGAAACCGACATTCGAAATGAAACTGCTTCCAGGGGAGATTCCAAGATCTGCTGCGGCTCTTCAACCTCCTTATAAGCAGGTTCAGGAGCAGGTTCCTCCTCCTCCTCCCCCGAAGCATCATCGTACATTCTCGGCCACATGGACCGCCTTCTTGTCTCCGTCTCTATCTTCTCCTTTTCTTTATTTACTATTCTCTATCTTCTCCTTTTCTTTTCTGTCCAAATCTCGCTTCTCCATTTTTGGAAGTTCTTCCTCGATCAGTTTCTCGATCATATTATGCATTGTCCGGTCTCCCATCCTAGGTGCGTCCATATCAAAGGAGAGCTCGACCTTCTTCGGTGATTCATCCTCGGACTCAACCTCGAGGTCGCATTCTTTTCTCTCGAAGCTTCTATTCTCGTAATAGAGATCATCAGAATCCTTATCATCGTCAAGGTCAGCCTCAGGGTCGACCTCATCATCAACTACTTCAATTGCATCATCAACAGGGGCATCAATATCTTGACTAACACCAGGAGTTTCTCTACCAGTTTCCTTCTCCAATATTCTCTCCAAAGTTTCCTGAAGTTTGGCTTTTCCTTTTTCCATCACATCATCCAGCTTTGTACTAGAAATAAATGACATCGTAAGAAGTAATTTTCAACATCTCCTTATTTGTTAAAGGTTATCAAAAACATTTGGTTCATTTGCTTCGTAAATTGGCAAAACTTATATCTACAGTCTACAATAAATGCCATGCAAAAAAGAAATTTCTAGAGATTAACATCAATTTTCTTTTAGGAAAAGGTAGATTTGGCCCTCCCCCTACTCCACGTAAATGTTTTTTTTTTACCTTAGCGGAGGACTAGTGACCGGGATTGGATTATCTTCTACAATACTATGATAACTATCATTCCCTTCAGAACTCATTTTAGAACTTTCACTTATACTCCGAACCTTCATCCTAATATTAACATCAGTAAAATGCATTAAATTATCTTTTAAAATATTGATGATCTTATTTATATTTATTTTAAGTGTTTACCTGTTAAATCTGGAATCATCAACCCTGCGAACAGGAACCTGGAAGGATATTTCTACATCTGAACTAGTCGCCAACTCCGCCCTAGGGGATACAAGACTAGGAGAGAATATAGTAGTCTCCGCCTCGCCAGCCGGCATGGGAACAGAGAAGTCTGGAGGCGGAATTTTCTTCGGTACCTTGAACCGGATAGATTTGCCGGGAGTCCCCTCGCGAGAATTTCTACCAGGCAGGTGTGATTCACTAAATATATCAAAAATGTATTTGGAGGTGTTAAAATATCGGAACTACGAATCTCAAATCCCAAATATAAATAATTTGTGAATATACTTTCTGCCAATTTTTATTGATTTTCAGCCACTCTTTCAAATCCTTATGACACTGAAGGCTGTGGACCTTTGTCTAGCAATCTCTTTCATTTCCCTGTAATTCCGCATTCCGCAAGACATAAAAAATTGAAAATAATCGATTTTTAGCCCAAAAAACCAATACCTCATTAATCTCTAACTAGAAATGTTTAAAGGGTGCGGTTGAGGTCACTTGAAATTTCGTCTACAGTTCATTTAAAGGTATATATGAAGATTATAGAACATTGAACAAATTAAACCTAATATTCCTACCTGGGAGATGTTTCCTGGTCGAGAGCTGGAGAGTTCTCTTGAATTAGTTTTTTCACCTAAATATTTTCTGTCTAAATTTTGAACTTATGAAAATTGGTCAAAAAAATTCTATTAAAAATTTACCAAGAATGAGTTATTTTCAAAAAAAAATAACCCTCTTGAAAAAAATTTTAAAGTAAGTTTAACTTCGATATCAGTCACATGGTATAACATCCCCCCCCCCCACCCCGTTAAAATTAAGACTTCTGGAGTCTACCTTTAATTGTGTTTTAAATTAATTAAGAATAGTTTGATTTTTTATTTCAGTAACCTTAAACGTGACCACCCCCCCCCCTCTCCAATATATACTAACTCCTACTTAGGAGTGTATGTAATATGTATCTAGTCCACAGTTCTCAGAAGTTCCTATTCTCACCTCCCCCCCTCCTATTATATGCAGACTCCTACCTTGAGTATGGATTGAGGAGTATGTGCATCTCGTCTAATGTCCTCAGGAGTTCCAGTTCTTCTCATACTTCTCTTAACTATCACAGGAGTTTCCAGGATAGTCAATGCATCCGCAGTCATAAACCTATGAGTCATATTACAAAGATTTTTGAAGATGGTGGGTGAAAATGTTACTTCAACCTCAATTTTATTCATTTAAATCGTATATTTTACCCAAGTCAGCGATAACAAGCCCTTTAATGAGTGGACAAATATTACAATTGATAAATTCCATTTTTCTATTTTTATTTTGAAATGATTAGGTTCTACTTTCGTAGGTGGCTTTAGAAGAGTCCTTCATCATCAGCCTATGGACGGGTTACTGCAATACATATACATCCCAGTTCTATATTGAATTAAGAATCTGGTAGGTTATGGATCTGACGAACCAGGCAAGATAAAACCCCCAAAAAATTCACCAATAGACTTGTCAAGTAAAGATGCCTAAAATGATCATCCTAGGTTTGATGTTGACACAGAAGAAATAGGATTATATGAATTATTTTAATCGAGTATAGGATTCATGGATTTCTATTTTCAACATTTCGATTTACAAGGATTTTCATGGGAAGTTTGATGTGAACAATTATCTAAATATCAGTTTTTTAGAATCATGAGTAATAAGCATGAAAGTGGTCAATATTCAAGACAGAAAAATAACAAACTAGTAGTCAATATTCTGGATAGAAAAATAACTAGTGGTCAATATTCCAGATAGAAAAATAACTAGTAGTCAATATACCAGATAGAAAAATAACTCGAGTATAAAATCTAAAAAGTAACTTCTGAATATTATCGATGGCATTCCAAAAAAATATTTCTTTTACTTACGATGTTTAAAATTCCAAATACCCTATCATTAAATATACCTTGAGAGTCTCCTCTGTGTTTTGGTGGACATTGTTAAAGATGAGATATCTGACATCCTGGTTCTCTTGCTGGGAGGAGATATTAGATCATTCCTTGTAGTCTCACATTCTTCTTAACACATACAATCTTTATAATGGAGATATTTAATATGACAGCAAAACTAGATTTTAAAGAGCTAATAATGCGGCTCAAAATCGAATTTTCTAATCCTTTTATATTTCCAACCTGTTGGTAGAAATCTTTTACATTTCAATCTATGACTACATGTTCTTGCAAAATCTATAGCATAAAATATCAAAGGTCTACGACATTACGCTTTCCTTTTTCCTAAAAAACTGATAAATTACTTAGTGAACAATGAACAGTGAACAAAAATTGAAAAGGGGCCTGGTTTTATTTTTTTGAATTTTCTGATTTAATTCTGAATTCATGGCGCTGACCTAATTGAGAGATAGCGAATCTTAATTCCTGGTAAATAACTTTAATTTTGGTTGGTTAACTGATTACTTCAATCTGTGGAAATATGATTAAATCTTGAGAGAATTTGTAAAAACTACCAACAAAACATTTATTTTTAACATAAAATTAGAAAGATGAATAAGTAGAAACGGATGATAGAAACTTTAAAAATGAATCCCGACTTCAAGATTGAAAAGTATATAATTTACCTATGGTACTGTCTGAGGTTGGGTATGAGAGGGTTGGATACTCAGATAGTTTTCTTTTCACTGGATCCGTCCTTTCTCCTAATAATCCAATACCTACTCTTCGTCCTCCACGATTCCTATAAATATTTCCACTAATGTTTTCTTCTAAAAATGTTTTTTGCGTTAAAAATTAAGAATTAAAATACGACTTTTATTTTTTTCTCTAAACCTGAAAGGAGTTTGGGATGGAAGATTATGTTTCGGAGTTCCCAAAGAGTCCTCAATATTCCTAGCTCGGCTCATCAGGCTCATGTTCATGTTATTCGGTACAACTTGAACAGGTTCAGGTCTGGACCTTGGAACATCTGTCTTAGTAACCAGGGTCTTGTATCCCTTAGCAAGGCTGGGGAGGATGCTGCTGTATCTATCCATGATAGCCTCTCTTGCAGCAGCCTTCGGACCTCCGCCAATATTCTTCAGCTTCTCATTCAACTGCATGGCATCGGTGTACCTGATCAAATCAATTCAATTTAAATCAAATTAAAACAAGTAAAAATCAAATAACTGAATTTACTAAAAAAGAAGAAATAAATGAAACATAAATTAAATATTGTCTACCTGGATCTCTGTAGATAATACATAAATAAATAAATAAATAAAAGATCAACCATCATTCCGTGGAAATCAAGGCCGAGACCCCATCAAAAATAACCACCAAAGGATGGAAATTAATGTATATCCGATTGTGACATAAGTCTAGTGTGATCGAGACATCGAGGTCTAGGCCAGTGACAGAAGTCACCTCCCCACTGCACACAAACAGCGCCTGGACTAGTGCATTTCGCTTCATAAGTCCAGTATGATATAGCTATATTTATTTCTGATATTATTGATATTAAATCAAATTAAAACAAGTAAAAATCAAATAACTGAATTTACTAAAAAAGAAGAAATAAATGAAACATAAATTAAATATTGTCTACCTGGATCTCTGTAGATAATACATAAGCAGTGCTTCCTTGCTATGGGGTTTCTTACTTTCCTGCAGAAACCTAAAGAAAAATCATGAACCTCAGGATCACTGTTTTCCCTCGATCTTTTTTTTAAAGTGGAGCCAAAATTGAAGATTATTTTACTTTGTTTGCAAAACATAACAATTCAAATTATCTATATTAATACAGCTTCTTTAACAACATCAGCAGTCTACAATATATACAATTGGCCTATTAATAGTTAAAGAACTACAGTGGAGCTAACCTGACTAACTGTTCCTCCACCTCTACTGATAATGAGTTTAAATACTACAGTGGAGCTAAAATAACTAACTGTTCCTACACCTCTACTGATAATGAGTTTAAATACTACAGTGGAGCTAACCTGACTAACTGTTCCTCCATCTCTACTGATAATAAGTTTAAGAACTACAATGGAGCTAACCTGTATTACTGTTTCTCCACCTCTACTGATAATGAGTTAAAGAACTTCAGTGGAGCTAACCTGACTAACTGTTCCTCCTCTTGAACTGACAATGAGAGTTTAAGAACTGAATCTAGTTTATTAAGCTGCTCCGCCTTCTGATAGAACTGCTGGAGAAGCTCAGGGCGACCCTGAGAACCCTGGCGAGATCTCTGGAACGTATACGCTTCCTAAATCATATTCCAGTTATTTACATTTATTTCGAAATAAACTCAAATCATGAAATGTAGGGATTGCTTTTAACTCATACAAACAGAATATAGGGTTCAATGAAGTTTTGATGTTTGACTGCATTCATTTTTAGTAAATTTTAAAGCACGATAATAATAATAATATATAATGTAATATATGTATAACCCTTATCCTTAAACATTAAACATTGAAAATATATATATACAGAAACATACTACTTTAAAACATATTTACATGTTTATTGTTCTAAAGTCTCTAAAGGGTCGGAAAATCTTAAATTCTGGTTTTTAACGCATTAGTGTTTTTTTACTTTTCCTTCTAAAATTAAATTTTTCCAATATTTTGATGTTGTTCTTATTAGCTTCCTTTAAATCCTTATTGATGTACAAGAGGAGGAGTTAAGAAACGGCGCGAATTTTTTTAAGTGCAAATTGCCTGAAATATTAATATTTGTTAAAGAATTGATTTAACCTGAATTGCTCCGTTCTGCAGAAGAACACTGATTTGTAGTTGAACATCTAGTTCTGATAGTACAGGGGGACGACGTATCCTAAAAGTGATTTCATTAAAAAAAATAGGAAAAAATTCCACTTTTACCTCACTCTTTTTGTGATGGTTCTTTTTCTAATGAATTTTGACCTGGAATATTTAAGAGCTAATGCAAATTGACCCTGCGCGAGTAGAGCGGTCAGAATGGCCCTGTGGTGCTCTGGAGAGAGGTCGTCCTCCTTAAAAAAATAACAGTTTAATGTACCTTTCAATACATTTGTTAGTAACCAAATCATTTAAAATAAAAAAGGTTATCATTTCAAAAAATATCAAAAACTATATTTGAAGCAAAATAATTATTTTTTAAAAATATAATAATCGATTCTAACAATACTTTATTAGTCAAATCAATCAAACTAAAATGTCCTGAGGCCTGAGATAGAGTTGATCTACAACGACAACGCCTGATCTTGATATCCAAACCAGAACTTTAATTTGAAAAGATTTGATCCGTAATCCGTTAATATTAGCATAATCGTATTTTCGCGATCTCTCATCGGTTTTATGTTGTTTCTCAGCATTGTTAAGAGTTAAGGTAATCCGTTGGACCACAAAAGAAAACCGGTGTCCGAATTTAACTAATTTGAGCCGCGGCTTAAATTTGCCAAAAACCGGTTTCAATTGAGTGCCGGATTAAATCTTATAAAAAAAATAAATACAATTTTAAGTGGAACCAACCATATTTGTACCGAGGCTTTTAAATTAAGCCGCGGCTCAAATTCTTTAAATTCGGTCTCGGGTTGTTGTTTGTTGAAGGGAATAACAATTGAAAAGTTTTTAATTGAAATGTTTAATAGTGGCAGAAATGTTTAATATTACCTGTAGGAGTGGATCAAGCATCATGGAAACAGATTCCTCCCAATCTTCATGATCTAGTAACCAGAATGCCTAGACACACAATTTATAAATAATATATCACACGGGTATAATTATCACTATCATTATTATTTATCAAATTAATAGGTATCAAATCAAATTAAACCGTAAGTTGTAGGGATGGCCAAAGGCTCCAGTAGTGGATCGGATTTTCAAATCCTCTCCATTCCTGGTTTTTCAGCCCGGCCTTCTGTTTAAACGGTAAAATATGCGTCTTATCCTCATTCCACAAGACCAAATTTGAGCCATGCTCAACTTTAGAATACCTAACATCCAAGGATTGCCACACGGTTTATTAAGTTTGGATGCTGGGTATTTCCCTAGCGAGTTTTACCGTTTCTGTCAAATTGTTTAATCCAGTTTAAATATTAATCTAGTTGACCAAGTTGTTAAGTTATTTAATCCAGTTTAACATTAATCCAGTTGAATATTCCATTTCCATTTATATTTATTACTTTATCTGTATACTTTATAAATAATATATACGTCAAATCAAATAAAATCATGAGGTTTTGGGATTGTTTTAGATTCCACCAAACAAACAACCTAGATCTAATTTTAATTGAGAATCTTTCAGAAGTCTTTCTACAATTTTAGTTCAACGTAGAAATTTGTCTTTATGGACTAAAAGTTTAGTTATTAATATAAAACTAAAATTAAAATTTGTCTGAAATTTTGTTTATGAAACATGTTTTTATTTGCGTTTTTCCAGGGCTTCTCAAAAAAATTTTATGTGAGGCTTGAATTTTTTTTACAGCGACCGTATTTTCGACCGTCCCATAAACTATCCTCCTATGCATATTAAATAAATGTTTGCAAAGGATCCTCTAAATTACTTATTCTACTCAATAAATTTCAAAAATGAGTTCTAGAACAAAACAAAAAAGGGCCCCCCAGCCTTTTCAGGCGCAGGCCAGGGAGTAAGGAATAGAAAGGAGATATAACTCTACCATGATTACAGTGTTTCGGATCCGCATACGTGATGATGGATCCGGATCCGAGGTAACTTTTGATTCTGTGAATCGGATTTTCCCTATTAAATGTTATGCAAGGTTATAATTTATAAACTATAGTAATCCTTAAGTTAAAAATGTCGTCATTACTATTATATAAATGTAAACATTAAATTATTAAAGATAATTTTGAAAAATTTTCGTCATGTAAATAATACATTTACGAACCATTTTGATTTATTTATTCCATGGTTTTGGTTAATTTTTGGCGCTACCCGGATCCATATCAACGTTTCCTGATACGGATCCGGATCCGGATCCGACCTTGTGATACGGATCCGAACGGATCCGGATCCTAAACAATGATTATACATGCTTTGCAGACGGGTACTCTATTTGTATAAGAAATATTTGTCTGATGTACATTTACTGCGTATACAATAACCTATTCTGAATATTTCATATACAAATGAAGTACCGTCTGCAAAGCATGTATAATCATATGGTAGGGGGAACCGCGTCAGTTATATCTCCCTTCTATTCCTTACTCCCTGGCTCAGGCTAAGAAAATTAGCCTTAAAAAAATACTAAAAATAAACCTGAGTTAATTTAATGATTGAAGGAGGTAGACTGAATGCAGATGGGAACTTGATCAGATTATCTACAAGATCAGACCACAGCTGTGGATCCAGTATCTGAGCTAAATCCAGGAACAAATACTGGACCAATCTCAACTGTATATATTTTATTGTTAAATCCTTCAGTGGCGGATATAAGGGGGGTTATTGGGGTTATTTACCCCCCCCCTAGAATCCTGGGGGTAAATACCCCCCCCTAGAATCNTTCACCGATTCACCGATTCACCGATTCACCGATTCACCGATTCACCGATTCACCGATTCACCGATTCACCGATTCACCGATTCACCGATTCACCGATTCACCGATTCACCGATTCACCGATTCACCGATTCACCGATTCACCGATTCACCGATTCACCGATTCACCGATTCACCGATTCACCGATTCACCGATTCACCGATTCACCGATTCACCGATTCACCGATTCACCGATTCACCGATTCACCGATTCACCGATTCACCGATTCACCGATTCACCGATTCACCGATTCACCGATTCACCGATTCACCGATTCACCGATTCACCGATTCACCGATTCACCGATTCACCGATTCACCGATTCACCGATTCACCGATTCACCGATTCACCGATTCACCGATTCACCGATTCACCGATTCACCGATTCACCGATTCACCGATTCACCGATTCACCGATTCACCGATTCACCGATTCACCGATTCACCGATTCACCGATTCACCGATTCACCGATTCACCGATTCACCGATTCACCGATTCACCGATTCACCGATTCACCGATTCACCGATTCACCGATTCACCGATTCACCGATTCACCGATTCACCGATTCACCGATTCACCGATTCACCGATTCACCGATTCACCGATTCACCGATTCACCGATTCACCGATTCACCGATTCACCGATTCACCGATTCACCGATTCACCGATTCACCGATTCACCGATTCACCGATTCACCGATTCACCGATTCACCGATTCACCGATTCACCGATTCACCGATTCACCGATTCACCGATTCACCGATTCACCGATTCACCGATTCACCGATTCACCGATTCACCGATTCACCGATTCACCGATTCACCGATTCACCGATTCACCGATTCACCGATTCACCGATTCACCGATTCACCGATTCACCGATTCACCGATTCACCGATTCACCGATTCACCGATTCACCGATTCACCGATTCACCGATTCACCGATTCACCGATTCACCGATTCACCGATTCACCGATTCACCGATTCACCGATTTACCGATTCAAAACCCTATACTTTTTAACTTTATCAGTTGACCAGTGTCTCCCAAATCTGTAAAAAAATTGTTATAAATCGTATACATTTTTTTCCTTAAAATAATTCTGTTGTATTTGATATGGTTTTGTTTTAGTACTGATGTGGACATCATAGAATGTCGAACTATCTAATCTGGTTCAACCTTCCACCAACTATATAATTTAAAAAATCTTTAAAAATGATCAGAGTTTTTAACAATTCATATTTTACCGCGAGGAAACTGCAACAATTAGAATTAATTCGAATAAAACTTTTCATTAAGAAACGCTTGATTATGTGTTTCAGTAATATTAATCAAACAGAATTCTAATAATTGCCGAACGAGCAATCTTGTTTCAAACCCCGTGAAGAGTCCCATAAGAAGACAAGATGTATGATGAGGATTTAATAATGTTCCTTGGCTGGTGCTGGAGTATCTGAGAGGAAGATAGAGAGTAAAGCGTGTAGGTTGGGAGGAGGATAATCACCAGCTCCGCCACTCTTCTATACACAACCAACAATACTCAAAACACGCAGTCAGAGATAATAATGATAAAAATCATAATAATAATAATAATAATAAACTTTTCTATGGAAATAAAGGCCGAGTCCTCTCAAAAAAAACCACAAAAGGGAGAAAACTCGTGTGATAAAAAACATGTAATTATTTTTTAAAGAAAACAACTAGCAATAAATAGATTCTTAATATCTCATCCCAACCTCGGCCCTCCCCCACAAAAAAAGAAGAGAGGAAAATTAACTTTTTACTCATATAAAATATAATTCATGAATTCTATGAGTATGTATAAAGTTCACAATAAACGATCGCAGTACATTCAGTGCATTGCGATCGTCGACCAATAATTGTGTTGTGAAAGTCACAAAATAATAAAGAATTTGATAAATTAGTTAAGAAACTGATAATATAAATAAATAATATTAAATATAATATAATAATAATATAATAGGAGCAACTTTTATGGGTCTCTAATACCTCCTAAAATGCGAAGGTTTACGCCTTTAAATGTGCTTACAAGTTCAGTCAGAATGCTATTGTCTATCCCAAAATATGGTCAACTTCAAAAGATTCATTACTTTATGTCTCTGACTCAAAATTGTGAGACACAAAGTGAAGAAAAAAACTGAATTGATGATTAAAAAGAAACTCAACCTCTGGCATCAGGTTGCCGAATAGACCAATAAGAAACTTAAAAAATGCAATAATGTGCAATTCCTTATTTTGTCAACATGAAAGAGAAAAGAATTGAGTCCTTGCCACAAACTAAAATAGTCTAAGCCCAATCATTTTGCAACCTGAGAGTTTGAACATTTGATATTTAAATTTAGATTTTATGATCTCACAAAATGTAGAGTTTGAAATATTGATCGTTTGCTATATCACACTGTGGATATAGCAAATTCCTCGTACCAATATGTTGTGAGATAGAGGACGACATTTAATTCATTCAATGTCGGAGATGCTATATCCATTGGACTATTGACAATCTGAACTAATGTTAAATTCCTTTTTTTACGACACCATATCGGGAATAAAAAGGCATTTAACGTGCTTTTAATTTCTTCAGGTTATTCAAATTAGGTTATTATTAATCATTAATTCAATCCTCATACACAGAAAAGTCTAACATTATAAAATTTAATCAAACAAATAGTTAATAACTTATTCTTAAACATTACAAATTGAAGCTGTTTAGATGAGTTATTGCCTTTATATAAATGATGATAATTATTTTGAACAGATAAGTCTTTAAAAAAATCTAAATAATATTGCTTTCCAAATTACAGGGTTTGTCTTGCTGAACAGGATATCTAAACTTCCTTTCACACCCTTCAAATTTGAACTTAAACATTTTTTTCTAAATGATAATAAGCCACCCGCATAGAACCCAGGACTCTGTTTCACAGTCTGAAAACAACCCACAAGACCCCAAAAACGGGAGCCGGCCAGACTCCATATCAGTACTAAAGAAGCAAGTCGTTTTTAAACCGTTAAGACAATGAATCCGTCGCTCCTCCGAATGGGCTGAATCATATTACATACTCAGCAGGGACCCCTTATCTCCCTCATAAGGTTTCTAAAAAATTAATCTAATGCCATCTGTAAGAGATATCCGAAAGTTATAGGTAAGACTTACCTATTAGAAATTGAACCGGATATGGATTTGATCTTCCTTCCGGTTGTTCAGGAAGAAGACCCATGTTAACAAACCAGGTGACAGCTTGTGTGTACAACAGAACCAGACCTATAAAAGAAAAACATAAATAAATTATAGGGAAGGTTTAAGATGTTAAATTTGATACATTAGGATGTATTGTTTTCTAATAACGAACAGAGAATATTGATCCTATTTTGCAAAGAGAAGGAAAATAAACAATAAAAGCTAAATATTTGATCTAAATATTCAGGAGGATATCAAATAAATTCTTTAACTAGATAAAATGAAATATGTAATTAAATATTACCAGTAACATTTTGTCTGCACTCCAACTGTTCCAACCCAATCTGAGTAACAATCCCGGAAGCTGCTCCGACAGCTGACAATATACTAACCAGATGTGCCAGCTGTCCTGACAGCTTGCTTAGCAGCTGCTTACTCCCCTCGTCCGCTTCAACTATACTCAGATCAAACAGAGGCAATGTGGAAAAATCCAGTTTTTCCTTGATCGCTGCAACCCTTTTCCAGGCCCAGTCCAGCATAAACTTGAGTGTACATCCAGCCTTGGAATATTTACCATCCGACCAGGCCCGCACAGCACCAACAATTAATCCAACCATGTTGTACTCCAGGGCGATGTTAAGGAGGAGTTCTCGTTGTGTAAGAAGAGACGGTTCCATCATGTTTCCCTGAATAAAGCCATATTATTGCAACCAATGTAGATATAGATTCTAAGAGACCAGCTTTATTATTAAAATAAATCCATTTAGGAGATACTTGTGTTAGGAAAAAGCTAGATTCTACTTTTACAAAACTGACAAGCAATTTTTTTTAAACGCATTTTACACTTAAAAACAAAAAAACTGATCATTTACCTCAAACTCAAGTTTTTTTATATAAAACTATGTATTAGGATAGAACCAAAGTCAAAGTTTGGAATTTACATCATCAGGCTTCAAATGCAAAGATTTAAGAATTAGCATATTTAAGAATGAAGAAACAAATGAGTTCAGTCTAGGGCTAAATTGTATTCCTTTTTTTTGTTCAGAGCTGACAAACCTGTGCTAGCCCTGCCATTAGACAGATCTGATACAGCTGACTAGGTTGTACAAGGGAGGATGGCCGGCACGCTAGCTCGTTGAGAACTCGTCTCTGTATACCAAGATGACTAGCGGTGAGGAACCCGTCCCTGGTCACCACTACTAGATCAAACTTGAGACTGCTTGGGTAACAATGCTGTTCAAGAACCGGACCAGAACCATTGAACCTGACAAATATTTTTTTTTAACTTTAAAAATCCGTTGCAAAAAAAATTTTCTGGATACGAATGAGTTAAACCTTGAAGAAATAAAACCTGAATATTGGATTTTAAATCAAATACAACACAAAATTTACAAAACAGAGAGATACGAACATTTTCTCCCATTTCCTAAAAACCCATCTAGGCCGAAAGGTTGAATGATTACCTAGTAACTGTATCCCTGAAAACTGTAACGTCCAGTATACCCCCTGAAGTACCGAACGGGTCTTCAAGAAGACTATGACTAAAGTAACTGCACAGTTCATCGGATTCATCTACACTGAAACTAGCAGGCATCTGGGCCTAAAAAAAACAATTAAATAAATATACATTTTTGAAATTTTAATCTTGCAAAACTTAAGATTTACTCCATTAAAAAAAATCTATTGAGGTTAAATAAATAATTTTTTAATCTAACGTCAATAGTTATTGTTGTAAATATTAATAAATAAACACGTAAAATTACAATTCACCGCTATTAAAATTATATCTATTTTGTTCAGAATATCAAAATGCTAATTTGAGTTCTGAGCTGAAAACTTTAGAATGGGATATCCTTATTCCCGATCGGTTAATTAATCTGGAGATTAATAACAAGAGGAGAACAAGCATTATTTAATCTGGAGATTCAGAAAAAGAGTGGATCAAGCATAAATCCAGATATCCGCCATTCAAAAGTTCCCAGTTCTGATTTCCAAATGAAATTTATCCAACTTTTGACTAGTTCACAACATTTAATTGAGAATGCAATTTTTATCACTCCTTATTGAAAAAATCAGTTTTGGCTGATAATTCTAAAAATGTATTATCAAGGAAAATTATAAAAATAAACATGATGCCAGCACAAACCGTGTTTTATTTAAGACTTAAACAATTTTGCGTTGTTTAAAATTATTTAATATTTTTCCTTTTTAAAAAAAATCAAATGAACCAACCTGATACCAGGCATTTATATCAAAGACGCCTAGATATGTAGCAGCAGTAGAGGGTTTAGTTCCTGCTTTCCAGATTATAACATTTAGTCCGTAATCTTTACTATGGTCCGTCTCACTAGTATCATTGCTCGAGTATCCTTAAACCAAATATTATAACATTTAGTCCGTAATCTTTACTATGGTCCGTCTCACTAGTATCATTGCTCGAGTACCTTCAACCAAATAGATTGTTAAGTACAATAGATGGCAACGTAGAATTTGTACACTCTCAGTACAGTTGTATTCTGTCGTCACAAGTGTCAATTCAGTTTTTTTGTTCGACAAAGTTATCAAAAATAGTGATAATTTTAGAATAAAGTGCTGTTCTTACGGTAAAATAAGTGCAATTTAATGTGTTCTTTAGTCTCTGTTTTTACACTTTTTTATTAATCAACTAATGTCAGACAATTTCGCTTTCCTTGTTATACTTGACACTTGTGACGTTGTGTATAATTGGTTAATTTCTCTGTTGCCACCTATTTTACTTGATAATCTATTTGCCTTAAACAAATATTTAGGTTTGATTCTTCAGTGGTATATATTTTAATGAAAAATAAATTTTTGAGGTTTTTAAATAGCAAAACATCAGAAACGTTCCCATACCTATCCCCCCCCCCCCCCCCCCCCAAGAGGAGAGGGGTTTTCTAAAGACATATAAGTGGCTCAGTAACATTTTGCCTAGTACAAGTTCGCCTAGTACACTTTCGCCTAGTACATGTTCGCCTACTAACTTTTTGCCTAGATAACATTTTGCCTAAACACAGTTTGCATAGACAGCATTTCGCCTAGATAACATTTTGCCTAGATAACATTAGAAGGTAATTTTCGCCTAAATAAATTCACTAAAATTTATAAAGTTCCTCTTTTTTCTCAAGAAATTCAATTAAAAGCAAAAAAAATGTATTATAATAATGTTTACAAATTTTTTCTTAAAGGGCACTAGCTCGCTGGAAATGATGATAATCAATTATGGCTGGTCCGTCTCGTTTGGTTTTCCCTGCCTGAATTAAGGACGTCATGTCGACATCAATATCAGTAGAAAACTGAATGATTCAAACTACAAAAAAAATTGTGAAATTTTTACGGTAAAAATTGCGTATTTTTTTGTTCCAAAAGCTGGTTAATTTGAAGAATGTTAATCTAGGCGAAAATTACTCTCTAATGTTATCTAGGCAAAATGTTATCTAGGCAAAATGTTATCTAGGCGAAATGTTGTCTAGGCAAAATGTTATCTAGGCAAAATGTTATCTAGGCGAAATGTTGTCTAGGCAAAATGTTATCTAGGCGAACTTGAACTAGGCGAAAGTGTACTAGGCGAACTTGTACTAGGCAAAATGTTACTGAGCCATATAAGTCTATATATATTTAATTAAATCTCAATCTAATTGTTGTTTGGTTTGAAGAGACTTTAGATATAATTTCCAATATGACTTTCCATTCATTTAGTCGCTAGTCCGATTCACATGTACACTTGGAAAGCTTTATCTGATCAGAATACGTGAAATATCAAGGATATTTTCTTTAAAAATTGATTATTTTCAATTGTGGTTGCTCTGTAATGTGCAATATGCATTGTCTCATAAACAATTGATTGAATTATCAGGCTAGAAAAACGAAGATATCTTATTTATTGATTAGATATAAGTTGTAAGGGTTCCGTTGTGAATCCGGAATATCCTTCTTTAAATGAAGGGTTACTTGAAAATACAATGACATTCCCTTTTCTAGTTAAAAAAAATATTCTGAACTAAATACCTGGACGTAATTCGAGGGTATACATTCCAATACACCAACTACAATTCGGTTCATCCTCCCCTCCTAGTATATGCTCGAACCTTGATAATAAAATCTATCTTAGCTCCAATGAATAAAAACCTTGCTGAAATAAGTTAAAATCGATCGCAAATTTTTGTTTGAGATAGCATGAACTGAAGAACAAAAATACTTATGAAGGTATTCCTTTCTAAAGAAAACTAACAATCTATGTTTGGTGTCGACAAATAAGGCTTAACTTAAACAACCAACCATTCCAGCCTCGTCCAACTATCTATCTATCTATTATGCTCCTTATGCTCCTGCTGATAGTGCAAACACTACCAGAACCCTACTCCTCGACCCGGCCTCCTTCTTTCCATTACTTCATAGTTGATTTAACAACAGTTTTTATACCTGATAACTAAGCTCTCCAGGTCTGTGTAGAGAGGTAGCTCTTCATCACCGACAAACTCAAGCTGTTTATTCCTGGATTATACAAACCAGTGGGAAATATTAAGTGTAAATTTTAAGGGAGGGGTAATTAAACTACTTTTAAAGGCCCAATTCATCATCTAGAGAATCAGGATATTCGGCTTGGTGACTGCCCAAAAGCACTTCACCCATGTCGTCTCTGACTTGACAATAACAATGGCCACTTTGTTTTATAAGATGTGCGACGTTAGAAAACTATACCTGTAGGTTAAACTGTAAAGGGTAGCTACTGCTAAACTATCCGTGTCATCTTCTTGTTCACTTCGGACAATCCAGTAATATACATAGTTCCTGAAATAATTTCTTTGTATGCATTGCTTTTCCTCTCATTATCAAATTATCAAGTTGTTAAAATTTTCAAAAAATATGGTTATTTAATATTTATTCCAAGTACAAAAAATTATCATTTGTATCGGCTGAAAGAATATGATGAAAATTCTGCACCTACAGTGTAAGAATAAGCATTCTTAAACGCTTGGAAGTAAACAATATTAAAATTGTTCCTTCTGAACCGTGTAATAATGGGAATTCTTACACGATAGGTTTACTACTATGGAACCAAACAGATATGATATAATATTAATTCTTAAAATATAATAAATGAAATTTGGAATTATTTGAACATTGATACCTTGGATCATTTTCTGGTTCTTGGAATGAAATTTGCGTGACTGGTTTATCACTTCTTACATAAACACTACTGTGATCAATCTAAAAATTACAACATCCATTAGTCCATTAGTCAGCGATTGAAAGAAAACCAATCGATCAATCAACCACCAAAACAAACAAAATAAGTAGTTCAATCTTTTACTGAATGAAGCAAAAATCTTCTTATCCAAGCAACATCAACCAATTCATTAGTCAAATCAAATTAATTAGCAATCATTTAATGGATCAACTAACCAGCCAAAAAAAGCAAACTCAACTAATCCATCAGAAAATCAATTAATCACATAATAGATTTATCACTTCATATTGACTACGATCAATCACTAAACATCTGAAGCACCTGTAACGTTTGTAATGAAATAAGTCTCCAAGTGCCAAGATTGAACCCGACGGCAAGGGATGCGTTAAACCCGGAGTAGTGCAGGGAGGTGATCTTCACATCGTCCACGGAGAACTGAATCTGAACAGGTTTAAACTTGAAACCTTGTCACAAATTATTGTAGAACAAGAAAAAATATATGTTCTACTTCTACTCACTTCTTTCCTTGAAGATGGACTGGAGAAAGATCCAGAGGACACCTGAATTTTCAACTTTTAACCTCACCAGAATATCAGAAGTTTACTGCAGTGTCCTTGCAAGGCGTAGATATTATCTTTACCCCGTATTTCAGGCTTTTTTATCCAGATACAAATATTAAATCGGGCAAGAAATTTTTTTTTTAATTCTCTGAATTAGGGAAAATAAATGAGCTTTTTTGTAATAAGTTTTAAAAAAGGTTGAGAAAAACTAAACTTTAGATGCCAAATTTTCAATCCCTCCCCCCCCCTCCCCGCGAGCTTCGAAAATCATTTTTCAAGATATATACCCCCAGGAAATGATAAAAAAGAAAAGGCCCTTGCATATTACAATAACAAAATGCTTTTTCATTTCTATCTGGATATTATCAAGATATTAGTAGACGAACAAGATATTATTTTTAACTGACCTGCTCCCATATAAAGACTTGACCTCTAATATCACAAGTAAGATCAAGAGCAACATGATTCTGACGAGACACGGCGTCACGTCTATGCCTAAATAAAAATAAAAACTTAGTTCTATCCTAAAAACATAAGAAATCGCATTTAAAGGTCTACCTAGCTAAATCTTTAGACAAAGGATCTAAGAAGAAGCCCCCTGCTAGAGATAATAGTAATACCTGGCTAAATCTCTAGACTGAGGATCTATGTAGACGACCCCTGCTAGAGCTAATAGTAATACCTGGCTAAATCTCTAGACTGAGGATCTATGTAGACGACCCCTGCTAGAGCTAATAGTAATACCTGGCTAAATCTCTAGACAGAGGACCTATGAAGACGACCCCTGTTAGAGATAAATAGTTTTACCTGGCTAAATCTCTAGACAGAGGATCTATGAAGACGACCCCTGTTAGAGATAAATAGTTCTACCTGGCTAGATCTCTAGACAGAGGATCTATGAAGACGACCCCTGTTAGAGATAAATAGTTCTACATAAATAAATCTCTAGACAGAGGATCTATAAAGACGACCCCCTGTTAGAGATAAATAGTTCTACCTGACTAAATCTCTAGAAAGGATCAATGAAGAAGACCCCTACTAGAGATAAACAGTTCTACCTGACTAAATCTCTAGAACGGATCTATGAAGACGACCCCTGCTAGAGATAAATAGTTTTACCTAGCTAAATCTCTAGACAGAGGATCTATGAAGACGACCCCGTCTAGAGATTAATATTTCTACCTGGCTAAATCTCTAGACAGAGGATCTATGAAGACGACCCCAGCAGGCGATAAATCTGTCGAGGTTACATTTTCGTCCAGTGCTAGATCCAGTAGATATAAATGACCCTAAAAACGCAAAGACATGTAAAAAAATTTTTTGTTAAAATTAGCGAACTTGGCTGTAGTTCATTTGATTTTAGAAACTCGACATTGCCCGAGCTAAATTAAAATCAAAATAATAAATAATTCTTTTAAAAATTTGAACAACTCAAACAATGTGCTTTTATTAAAAAATTATAATAAAATAATTAACCACAATTATTTCTTCAAAATTAGGGGTAAGCTCATCAGTTAGGTGAACGGATCAAACTTGGCTCTTCCTGCTTGACTATGTGAGGGATGATGTTTAGATCATTGATTTTTGATAAATTAATTTCTAAAAATATTACCTGCGCCATCCCCACCGCTACAATACCATGAAAATATCTGAGAGAGGGATGAAAATACCCAGCAGCACTCGGGCCCCCTACATCACAAGGATAGTCTTCAGGGGTATAAGATATCAGTTATTTTCTTGAAAACTCATTCCAAGGCTGGGGGGGGGGGGAGAAATATATGAAATTAAAAAGAAGGAAAAAGCTTGCCAATTTAAATTCATTATTAATCTACTCCATCATAACACTTTTGCAAATCTGTCTATTTATATTATTCAACTTATATTAAAATTACCGATATAAAAAAAAAACTTTTTTATTTTTATGATAGAGGGAGAAATTTTGCTCCGGCAAATTTAAGTGTTAACATAGAAAATTTCAGGAACAGAAAAAGCGATCTTAATAAATCCAAAAAAAAGTTTTAAAAAATCAGGTAAGAATTTGTTAAAAGATTAACTTCCCAATGTAAAAAATACCCAATCTATTTACCAACTGAGGATACAAGAGCAAGACTTGTGACCGGGAAAGGAAGAGAGATACATCGAATAGGTTTAGATTGAGGAATATCAAACAAACAGAGTTGTCCCCCGTCAGCACCAGAGTTTATTCCGACAAGAACAAGACTAGATCTAAAATAAAAATATATTTTTAAAACATGAGAAAAAACCATGGAAAATTTATCAAGAAATGGTTCCATTATTCGTAACTAGTTCAACTACTTCTCCAAATAGTGCCTAGTTCAACTACTTCTCCATATAGTACCTGATTCTACTACTTCTCCATATAGTATCTAGTTCTCACTACTTCTCAATGCAGTATCTAGTTCAACTACTTCTCCATATAGTACCTAGTTCAACTACTTTTCAATGCAGTACCTAGTTCAACTACTTCTCCATATAGTACCAAGTTCAACTACTTCTCATATAGAACCTGAATTCAACTACTTCTCCATAAAGTACCAAGGTAAAACTAATTATCCAAATAGTACATAGTTTAACTACTCCTCCATATAGTACTTAGTTTAACTACTTCTCAATATAGTATCTAGTTCAACTTCTACTCCATATAGTACTTAGTTCTACAAATTCTCCATAAAGTGCCTAGTTTAACTACTTCTCTATATAGTACCTAGTTCAACTACTTCTCCGCTACAAGGAGGCTGGAATCTTAGTTTACCTGGAGATTAGTTTATTCTCCGATACAAGCTGGAAACCTAGTTTACCTGGAGATTAGTTTATTCTCCGATACAAGGAGGAGGCTGGAAACCTAGTTTACCTGGAGGTTAGTTTATTCTGCAATACAAGGAGGAGGCTTGAAACCTAGTTTACCTGGAGGTTATTTTATCCTCCGATACAAGGAGGAGGCTGGAAACCTACTTTACCTGGAGGTTAGTTTATCCTCCGATACAAGGACGAGGCTGGAAACCTACTTTACCTGGAGGTTAGTTTATCCTCCGATACAAGGAGGAGGCTGGAAACCTAGTTTACCTGGAGGTTAGTTTATCCTCCGATACAAGGAGGAGGCTGGAAACCTAGTTTACCTGGAGGTTTGTTTATCCTCTGATACAAGGAGGAGGCTGGAAACCTGGTTTACCTGGAGGTTAGTTTATCCTCCGATACAAGGAGGAGGCTAGAAACCTAGTTTACCTGGAGGTTAGTTTATCCTCCGATACAAGGAGGAGGCTGGAAACCTAGTTTACCTGGAGGTTAATTTATCCTCTGATACAAGGAGGAGGCTGTAAACATGGTTTAACTGGAGGTTAGTTTATCCTCCGATACAAGGAGGAGGCTGGAAAACTAGTTTACCTGGAGGTTAGTTTATCCTCTGATACAAGGAGGAGGCTGGAAACCTGGTTTACCTGGAGGCAAGTTTATCCTCCGATACAAGGAGGAGGCTGGAAACCTAGTTTACCTGGAGGTTAGTTTATCCTCCGATACAAGGAGGAGGCTAGAAACCTGGATTACCTGGAGGTTAGTTTATCCTCTGATACAAGGAGGAGGCTGGAAACCTAGTTTACCTGGAGGTCGGTTTATCTTCTGCTACAACTAGAAGACTGGAAACCTCGGGCTCCTGATCTCCAGATTGTGATGTAAAGGTCCAAGCAGCCAACCTCTCATTAGTTTCCAGATTCAAAACATCAAGGTTGCAGCCCTAACAAAATATATAAATAATGATTAAGCAAATACACGCGTCCAAATAATTTTATGAAAACAGCATTACACCTCTGTGCAAGGTGGTTTAGTCTACGGTAATTAATTTCTAGCAAAGTACAAATGTTCAAGAAAATTTGTTAAAAATAATTTTATACAATTCAAAAAATTTTGTAAAATAATCTAAATGTTTCTAAGAAATCAAACCTTTGCAATTGCTGCAATACTCCCATCCAATGAGGTGATCCCCAAATCTGCGCTCCCGTCAAAATCATTGCTTTCAAAACCTGAAATCAAAGAGAAACTTTATTAACGTAAATTTTGTATACGATGGTGAGGGAGAAGGGCATTAATATTTTGTCTAATTATCCCAGGGAATGATTTTTAAAGATTTTGAAAAAAAATGAAATATTAGTTTTATCCATCTTCTCGTTCCTTAATTCAGCGAGAGAAAAAAAACATTTCCATCATACTGGGAGAAAAATTAGTTTTGAGAAGGGGGGGGGGGGGAAATAATGTTTCAAGAAAAAATGCTGCTGGGAGAGGTAAATTTGTCCTTAGTGAATGATGCTAGAAGAAATTTCTTCACCAACAGAGTAGCTGAGAGATGGAACAAATTACCCAGAAAATATAAAAACTTTCAAGTCTTTATATGAATAAAGTACAAGAATAGCTAGAATAAAGTACAAGAATAGCTAGAATAAAGTACAAGAATAGCTAGAATAAAGTACAAGAATAGCTAGAATAAAGTACAAGAATAGCTAGAATAAAGTACAAGAATAGCTAGAATAAAGTACAAGCCCAGATACAAAAGGACGTCATCTTTATGCTTTTATCTAGAACCATGATCACAAATCTGCAAGTATTCCCAAGTATATATATTTATTTATTTATTTATTTAAAGAGAATCGCTGGGGTTGTTCCTGGCCGCAGGCAATCCCACCCATCAGCACTCCCCCTAATGACACGTGTTTTCCTCACGCCTGAGGTAGTCTGGTTAGTCCGCTTAAGGCATGTGCTATGTAAGAAACTAATTAATTATACCTGTAGAATGTCCTAAATGATATGAAACAGCTTTAGGAAACTTGATAAGTTTACTGGTCTGCTCCAGGGTTAGAAGTTGCGACATTTTTCAGTTCATTTTAATTCTGAAATATGTAAAAATATGTAAAACATGTTTGGTTGCTGGATAAAAACAGTTTGAATTAGTTCCTAGATTTATCAGTTTTTATCTACCAGCCAAATATGTACTCCATAGCTTTTCCCACAATCCCATTGCTTCTAGTAGGGGTATTCGTTCCGGGTACAACCTAGATAGATAGATTGATGATATCTACGTAAAATGATCTTGTAAAGCCCAATTTTTTGGCAAGTAAACTTTTATAACATTTGGGCTCCTAAAGTTTATAATTTTATGGAATTGGTTTATTCGATATCCCCAAAATTAAGAAAATTTAATAACACGGTTCAATGATATTAAAAAGGCAGAAATTGTCCCTAACAAAGTAGTTGTCCTCAAAATATTTACTACATTACCAGGACAAGATCTCTTAGTTTTCAGAAATTATAGGATGTGGAATTGTCTCACCTTGTTTTCTGTTTGTGCTTCCTTGAAGGCTTGAGTCAAAGGTCGGATAGTTCTAATTAATACAAATATAATTTATCTTTGAACCCAGAGTTCGTTCATGTATTTTCGCAACCGTTAATAACATCGGTTAGAGAATTCGTTGGAAGCTATTTAAATAAGATCTTAACAGCTTGGCTGACAAAAACTTATTTATTTATTGCTTGAAAGTTACTAAAATTATTTATGTATTAGGTCCCCTAATGGTTGCTTCAAAGTTACTAGAATTATTTTTTGTAATTTCCTAGGTGTTCCAAGTCCGTTGGTGGATATGTTTGCAACTCCAGTTCCTGCCAGACTAGAGTCTAGTACACTAGTATTCAGGTTACCCTGCACATATAATATTCATAAACTAATTCAATCAATCAATTCCCTTAAAAATGTATGTCGAGTTATATATTCCATCAAAGAAATGCCAAAATGAGAAAACTTTCATCCAATAAGTTTATAAATCAATTTATCAACAGTTTTACAAACTAAATCAATCAATAAAGGATTCAATCAATCACTCAATTAAATAAGGACCAGAAAACATGACTTTCATAAAAAGGGATTAGCTGGCTTTCCATCAAAGAGTAGACAAAAATAAGTGAACCAATTGTTAATCAAATTAAAATAAAATTATTTAACCAGTAATACAATCGATCAATCAATATTTTATTAATTTATCAATTAATTAGCCAAGAAAAAAAAACTAATCAATCCACCAAGCAACCGTGAAATCTTTTCTAAAAGGTTTGTTATGAATATTAAATATCCCTGATCAAGAACACTATTGTCCGTGCAGGGAGCCAAGCCTACCATTATTGTTCCGCCTGAAAAAAAATTGTTTAAAACATAAATATCTTCAAATGAGTTTACTTGTAAAAAAACACTCACCAAGAACGGATCCATTTTTAGCAAGCGCTTTCCTAGCTTGCAGTCTTGTTTGAAACCTAACGATCAAATCAAATACTTAACTCCAAGTTTCAAGATTATATTAATATATAATCTGTAAAGGACTCCGCAATTATTTGTGATATCAGAACCCACAAATGATCTGCTCTCGCTTGAAGAGAGATCGTGAGAATTCAAGTCAGCGTAAATTTGGTTTATCCTCTCAGATTCAAATTGGTCAAGTCTAATCCAAACTGGCAGATTCGATCTAAATGGACAAATTTTCCTTAAATTGGTAAATTTTCCCAAATGAAGTTTCAGACTTTCTTCCAAATTGGTAGATTTTGGTCCTAAATTGGAAGATTTTGGTCCTAAATTGGAAGATTTTTTCAAACTTTGAAATTGGCCAGTTATAAAACCTGGCTCAATTGGTTTAATTTTAACTTTAAAACTGTATAACATAAACATCGCAAAAATGAAATAAAGAAAAAAAATTGAAAACGTAGTTTTTTCCGAGTTAAGCATTAAGTATGTTTCCTAATATGCATCCAGTTAGCGTTAGGTGGCAGTATATGCTGAAGGATGGTTCCACAGTTGGATAGCTGGGAGATTATATAGGAGGCAGCAGAGGGAGGAAATCCGAATACTGTCACCCATAAACTCAGGGGGTCACAGGTCTCCTCTCCCTATACATACAAGCTAGCATCAGCATCAGGGGTAAGCTCATCAGTTAGGTGAACGGATCAAACTATGCTTACCCTGCTTGACTATGTGAGGGATGATGTTTAGATCATTGATTTTTGATAAATTAATTTCTAAAAATATTACCTGCGCCATCCCCACCGCTACAATACCATGAAAATATCTGAGAGAGGGATGAAAATACCCAGCAGCACTCGGGCCCCCTCTCAGCCTCAACATCAACATCAACATCAACATCAACATCAACATCAACATCAACATCAACATCAACATCAACATCAACATCAACATCAACATCAACAATGGTAACAATAAATTGACAATGACAAAAACTCTTTATTGCAGACTAATGAATTCGTATTTAATATTTATGAATTAATCCATTGTATGCCTGACCTGTATAATTTCTTGTGTCCTTGATGGAGTTCCATCAAATCCTCCAGTATTATCAAACCTACTAAAACATATAAATGTTTGTAAATATATTTTAAGATCAGTGCTGTTACTATTAATATTGTTATTTTCATATAACTATCATTATTATCAAAAACAACAATAAAATGAAGCGGGGGTTGGCGTTCCCAGCCGTAGAAAAAAATATTTTTTTTTAAATGCTCCGTAAAGTCAAATCAATCAATCAATCAATCCAAAAGAAACGCTTTTATATTATTGACTTCACCAATCACAACTTCAACCAAGTATTAGTTTAGTCGGAATGGTCTTAATAGTCACAAAAGAAAGGAAAGTTAAAAGGAAATCAATTATTTATATTTTTTCATGTAGTTTGTATCTTCAAAAAGGCAAACTCCCAACTATTACGAGTTGTAAACCTGACTAACCTATTGAATGGAGAGTTGATGGTTGAGTTTGGTGTGAGTCCGCCCATTAAACTAGTAGTAGGGGGGCCTCCGGGTTTATCTGCTCGGGAATGAAGACGACCACTATGACTGAAAAATGAATTTGTAAAAAATCACGAAAAATCTAAATACACAAAAAAGCTTACAATTTACAACATAGTATTAATATAACCGTGTTTGTATGGTTACAATATTCATGAAGTAAGTTGGGTTTCTTTCAGCCCTCATCATAAAAATTAAACAGTTTGATGTCTGGAAACTTATATATAATATTCTTGGATATCCAGTGGTCGGAACCCGCCAGATAATTGAAAAATGTCACCAAGCACTAATTTCTCAAATTCTAAGTTACCATCGTGGATATAGAGATCAAGCGGCGTAATTAGAGCCATCACACACAAAAGTATACCTTGTGTTGTTTAACTTACTTAAGGTTTTCCTTGAGTAACCCCGGACCTCTGGTTGATGGGTAGGGTAGAGGTGTGGTTGGAACACTAGTCAGCCCTCCTCCTGGATTAACATTACCGTTGTTGTTGTAATATTAATCGTATTTAATATTTAAACCGCGACTGTTTACACTATCACAACGCAGAGTAGATAAACAGCACACATGGAGAAGGAATCAAACTGACGTTCAAGTGACTCGAATATTTTACTTAGAAATATCATTTAACGTCTTTTAAGTTTGAATATTACTAATAACTCAATTCCCTTTTAGTGTAACCTACGGTGGTAGGCAATTATATCAATATAATGAAGACGACTTTCGATTTCAATTTCAATTTATGTCAAGCTTTTAAACAGCATGGATACACATGGAACAAAGAGAAGCTGCCAATTAAAGAAGCTTCTCTTTTATAACTTTTAACTTGTACATAAAAAAAAAATCTTGTTAACAATTAAAACTTGTCTTCTTCATTATATTGACATAATCGCCTACCACCGTAGTAAAAACCAAAAAGATCACCATTTGATGTCGTTTTTTAATATTAATATCATTTCACTAACCTTTTAACATTACCTAATAAAACCCCTTTCATACCCTAAATAGAAAAATATTTGTTGTCCCAAAAAAAGTGTTGGTTCTTTAATAGTCTACTTCGATATCTGTAAGCATAATCAAGAACTTTTTTCAAACGGCAATGTATGTAATCGTATAAACATTAAACAGATAAAGCAAGTGCCCGTGACGACATTCTAATTTTCAATTTCAGTAGAAAGTATTCTTTGTCTCAGTTCTTAGGATCCAATTAATTTTGATGCGAATCTGGATCCGGGATCCGCACTGGAAAAAATGGTCCGGATCCAGGTTCTTTAAAATTTACTGAATTTTATAAACAAAGCAAAATTTTCAAATTTTTTGTCTTATTTTTTTCGTTTATTTTTATGCTAAACTTAATGAATTCGAACCATTCAGAAATCAGGAAATTATTATAATCTCTCTTTTTTCAATAGTTCAGATTTGGGTTTTCAGAGTAAATTTTTTTTTGCAGTTATTGATTAATATTTTGCGCCTTGGATCCGGATTCGTGGATCCGCATATTTTTTTTGATCCGGATCCAGGAAGCCAAAATCTTGCGGATCCTAAGCACTGCTTTGTCTGATACTCCGTCATATCACCCCCCCCCCCCCCTACCATAGAGTCTGACCTGCATTCGACATATTGCTCATGGAACGGTTCAGTTTGCCAGGGGAATTCAGCTGCCTGCAGAATAAAAACAAGCAAATTCAAAAAAATAGAAGAAACTAGTGATCGTGTTGTTCTTATACGTTGTATATAATGTAAACAACCCAAATACTCTTTTATTTAGTTTTATGCGTCATAAGGATAACAGAAATATCGATAACATCCATAAAATTAACTGGGACTTGGACAAACATATTTATATCTCTTTCAGTTCACCTTTAATCACAAGGAATTCAACCAATCTTAGGTTTCATGTCATTTAATTCGACAATTGAAATTCGTGTTAAAAAAACACTTCGAAAAATGTTTTAACTCAGAATTGCTTCTGGACAATTAATTTCTAATATCACATAAAGTGTAGATTTAAAATATCACATGATTACTAACATGCATATTGCTTATTCTAACCCACCTGTTAATAAGAGGAGATGCTGGCGATATCTGGTGTGAATCTCCCATAAGATATCCAGGAAGATAACCTGCTCCCCCACCCTGAGAACTAGCTCCAGTACCAGGAGATACTGGAGAACCAAAATGGTAAGGAGAACCTGGAGATAAGGTTAAATTTGTTAGGGTTCAATCCCACTCATGATATACATTTTTCCAGAGGTCTGAATTATTTTAAAGCAAGAAATTGTTGTATGGATAGTTCACCTACTATTCTATTACTAGTCGCTACTCATCAAGACCTCAGAGCTTTGAAGTTAATGTTTGTTTTTCTACTTAAAGTAAGTTTATGTCCTTCGTCAATCGTCACGTACATCTAAGTCTCCAAGTACCAATAATCCAGTCAAAATTAGTCTCCTTGTGTACTCCTATTCCCCAAACAAATATTTTTGAACAGTTTTAAAATCTAAAACTTACTTAAATAATCTCTGACCGGTGACCCAAGGTTCATCGGTTCCATTTTTCTCTGAAAGTATAAAACAATAATTTAATCTATTGCTACTGGGTAGCAACATTTCTAGTCGTACAAAAATATCAAAATAATAATAAGCGTAACTTCATGCTTTACGAGATCGTCAATAGAGTGATAATAAATACAGCCAATCATATAATAAATGGTTTCAAATGTTCGAGAAAAAAAACTATTTTTACGAAAAAAATTTCATTTTACATAATTAATATTTATAAGTTTTTGTATACGTTATTCAAATACAAAAATAACTCAAAAATTAAAATGGTAAAACAACCAAGATATATTTCATTACTAATTAAAGGCATTTTATATTTTCAATAAAATGCTGCTTTGCTTTTAATTTAAGAACACTTTTTTATCAATAATATAAATAAATTCATAATAAACTGACAGAAAATTTACTCAAGAGCTAAATATTTCCGTATCTTAACAGAATCTGGAACAGGCATAACGGACACATCTGCTCCCGACTTCTCCGGAGAAGTCATGTTCCTGATTTTCAGAGGAGAATCCGAGCTCACGTGAACAGGAACACCACTGCTTATAATCTTAACCTGTCGAGTTCTCTTTCTTGCTGGCGAGTGAACATCTGATAAGTGCTGAGCTATCATAAGTAAGGGTAGTTTCATCAAACACATCGGACACTTCTCCTCACTACTCTCAGGAACTTTAGCAGTCTCGTCCTCAGGATCAGATTGGGGCTCCTCAGGATCAGATTGGGGCTCCTCAGGATCAGATTGGGGCTCCTCAGGATCAGATTGGGGCTCCTCAGGAGACGAAAATATTTTACTGCTTGGAATAAACTCCTGCTCCTGGTTAAGCTGCGGAGTTAGATGACGATTGTTTCGAAAACGCTTCATCTGAAGAATTGGAGTTTTTGGACTTTGAATAACTCGTTTAACTCTTATGTCGTCCGTTTCAATATCTTCGGCATGAAATCTGGAAATATGACGGGACATGCTTTTTTCTAGAAGAAGTTTACCACAGTGGAGACAGGCAATTTTTGTATTGGCAGTTGGAAGTTTAAACTGAGCATCTTTATTCTTTATTCTGGTTTTACGACCTAAAAAATATCAATGAATCAAATATTTTCGCTGCCAACCACTGAAAATCTAGCATTTTATTAAGCCTTTGCTATAAAGTCAATTTATAAGTGTTAAACCAAGTGTAGTTCTTTTAAGTTTCCCAATAAAAAATTGAGGAGACTAGGTCCTGGGGTATCTTAGTTATGATCGGACATACAATCAGAAAATAATCAAAACAAATATATCCAACCTGATCCACTATCCGTGTCGTCTTTATTACGGATTGTATTTAGTCTAGCGCTAGATCTTGGGATCTCAGATCTCCTTACTGGAGAATCCTCCAGCTGTAAAACAGATCCGGAGAAACTGGGAGACGAGGCACGAGAACTACGGCTTGATCTGAACAAATAATGTAATTGGCAAAATCCTTTTCAAAATTCAATGTTAAATTTTGGCAAAATGTAAAAAACATAGACCTTGTGAAACATTCCATTGGAACCGTAGAAGCAGTTCCAGACCTGGATCCAGGAGTGACGGATCCTGCTGTAGGAGTAGCGGAACCTGGCCTAGAGCGTGGTGTAGCAGATCCCCTGCCAGCTCTAGGAGTAGACGTTCCTGATCTTGTCCTTGGAGTGTTAGAACCAGACGGAGGAGAAACTGCGCTGGTTTGTTTCTGTCTCCGGGTTCCCTTGGTCAGGGCCTTCTTTACTTCAACCAGATCATCCAGCTCATCAAGCTCATCCTCAGATGGTTCAGGAGTTATAGGAGAGCAAATACCTAAAATACATCATTAAAAAATCAAAACATAATAATTTTTATAAATTCACCCCGATATTTCAAAATTAATTGATAAAGTACTAATAATTTTTTTTTTAATTTATTAGTACTTTAACGCTTTAAAAAGAATTAAAAAGAGAAATATACATACCCCTGATTTCAAGTTTATTTACTAATGAATAATATGTGACTACTGGTACCTGAGGCTAAACGTTTGGCTCTTCTATCAATGACTTGTTGCATGGCAGGAGTTACATCAGAGGCTGTCAAGTCCATACTTGCAAACTTTGCCTTGGTATTCGCCATTCTAAAATAAATCATGAATAATATCAACTTTTTTAATCTCGTCATTCGCGATTCAAAATTTCACTTTTAACCCTACTAAAACACTTAACTCTTTTTTTCTATTTCATGGTTAACAATTTACTAAACTTATATTTTCTACTATGTTTTTAGTTTAATTGACTAGTAGTCCTAAAAATTTAAGGGTAGGAATTTAGTTTAAACAGAACCCACAAAATGTCCCACCCCGACAGAGTCCCCAAATATCTTTTCACGGTTTCTATTTCTACCTCTGATTGTACTCCGCCAGTTGCTCCTTCCAGGATAGGGTCTTCCTAACCCGTTCTAGCTCCTCTCTCACCTCCAGTAATCGAACCATCTCCGGAGTAGGGTTCAGTAAACTCTGCTCCTGGAGCGCCTCGAATGCAGCAGTCTGCTCCGGGTTCTCTCTCTCCTCAGACTCACTGCTTCGACTAGCCTGCCTGATGATGGATTCAGGATCCAGACTAAGAACCTGTTCCCAGCTCCAGGGAGCAAACCTTTCATCTTCATCCTAGAAAGAATTATCAGTCCAGTTTTAAAAGAACCTCCGAAACATTTTAGGTTAAACCCGTCACAAGATTGAAAAAAGGAATTTTTTGAGTTTCATTCAATTTCTAGAACTTATCAAAAACATTTGATCTTGGAATTCATACTTTATCCCATTTAACAAAAAATATCAGGAACATGTTAAAACTTTGTTGTCAAATGATCACGTGATTAATAATAAACCTACTTGAGATCTTGTGTTTCGTGTTCCCTCCTGATCCTCATCTTCCTCCTCTTCTTCATCAGAGCTCTCCTCGCGGGGGGCAACCTTGCGGTTTCCAAAGACTAGAGGAGCGTAGGGCTCTACTCCTTCTCTTCTCATAGCCTACACGACAATATTTATTATCTAGTTTCTTTATAATAACTACACTTTGAAGCTTTTTAAATAATACAAAGGGTTGGATATTTGAGATAAAGGGATGGGGAATGATTCTAAGTGAATCTGAACTGGACTAGTGTCAACCACACTCCTCTGTGATTCAAGCTAATTTTACCTGGCAAAAAAGTTTTCTGAGTTTTGAATAATCAGGAGCATCTATAAATCCCAAGGAATTCACATACACCATGAAATCCTCCAAAACTTTCGGCGGGGCCTCAGGTTTAAAACATTTCTTCAGAAAACCAGGAACATTGAACATAAATCCAATCTTCTTGCTCTAAACATAAAAGGTAAAATGAAGGATATCTGCTCAAGAGATACCAAGTTCAAATATTGACATCGAACAGAAAAGACAAAGCAACGTAAAATCTCAATCCCATTTATATCCAGGGTCAAACAGGTATGATTTTTGATGATTTAAGGGGGAAATGAAAAACTGGACGTCAAATGGCAACTTTATTGTATTTGATACATTTTCCACACAAATTATATTATTTCAGCGGAAAAATACCTTTAAAATTGTGGGGGGGGGGAATAGTTTTCAAAAGGAGGAAGGGGAAATGCTATTTCGAGAAAATATACACCCCTGGGATCAATTTATCAATGTTTATGAAAGTATGAAGATTATATGAAGTATTCTACCTGTACGAACTCTGGTTCCTGTGAATGTATCCAAGGTAGGTATCCAGAAACCCAGTGTATCAGATTATATCCAAGAGTTTCAAGATCCCCACGGCGGGAGTGAACGCCTAGAAAATGTACATTTCTTTTTCTTTTTTTCTAATCTTGAAAAAAAGATAGGCATTGAGGGAGTTTGGTCATCTAGAAACAAAATAAAAACAAAAAATTCCACATTGAACTGGAGAAAATAAGTTATGATTACTCGTTTGATAAAAAAATATATTTAAGTGTTTTTTTTTCAAATACCAGTGTGCGCGTCTCTACTGGTGTACTCCAGGGTTCCCTCGTGTGCCTTCCGTTCATCAGGTTCAGCGCTGCAGTGGAAACCCTGACTGTTCCGGTATTTACATGCAAGACCAAAATCCACGAGATATACCGTATTCTGGTCCTAGAATTATGTACTTTTCAGCAAACTATGTACACTGTGCACCTTGTTAATTTATAAAATTTATATCCAAGTAGTTAGCATTGTTTTCTTGAATAATGTACAACTAGTAATAGGCAACTCTACATGTCCATTTAATTCAATAAATTAGTTGTCAATATATATATCAAAACTCAACTAGGACACACTTGTGTAGACCCACTTATTTGGACGAACTTATTATAAATATATAATAATATATATATCAAAACTCAACTAGGACGCACTTGTGTAGACCCACTTATTTGGACAAACTTATTATAAAGCACTAATAACTTAACAAGAATACGCTAATTAGTTGTCAATATATATATCCAAACTCAACTAGGACGCACTTGTGTAGACCCACTTATTTGGACGAACTTGTCATAAAGCACTAATAACTTAACAAGAATACGCTAATTAGTTGTCAATATATATATCAAAACTTAACTAGGACGCACTTGTGTAGACCCACTTATTTGGACGAACTTATTATAAAGCACTAATAACTTAACAAGAATACGCTAATGATGAGAATGCACTTTTCAAAGTTAAATAGTGATAAGAGGATCAAGTAATATTAAGAATTTTTTATTATTGCTCGGGAGAGAGGTTTAATATTCCCATCTAAAAAAAACGCCGACTCGACTTCTAGTTTTACCTGTCCGTAGGCCAGAAGAACATTCTGAGCCTTGATATCATTATGAGCATATCCCTTGCTGTGTACATACTCCAAGCTTTCCATTATCTGGATCCTGAACCAAAAACAGGTTTTAAACAAATACAAAACATTGTGCTCCTGCCCAGATTTGACTCAAGGCTATTGTCCACGCAGTGGTGTGGAGTGTCCTGAAGAGCGGTCTGGGGGTTCCCTTTCAGATATAAATTCAATTTGATGAGGAGAAAAAAAATTAATTCCTCAATAAGGAGTTTCTTTCGAAGCTTAACATTATTTTCTTCATTTTCCATTATCATGCTGAGGAGGCTTTCATCTTGACAGTTTTCCTGATTTACCAATAACCCTTAGTTCGCATTCAATTTCCCTCTAAAGACTCAAACGTAATAATAATAATCTCATTAACTTACCCTATATTTAAGGCAGTAGGGAGAGGGATTGGTTTCTTCCCAGACTGAAAGAATTTCTGAATATCTGAACCTAGCCTTGACATCACTAAAAACCTAAAACAAAAATGGAGTTTTGATAAGATCAAAAATTAAATAGTACTATTCAATGGTTGTTTTTAACTAAATTTTTTTTTTAATGCGTGTAAATTTTAAGCCAATAATCTTTCGGGTTTTCTAAATAAACAATTAAATGAGTAATCTGTGTAAGAAGAAATCATCATAAGCGGTTTAACCTGAGTTTTTCCTCTTCGACCCAATGAGAACCAGAGCCAAAGTAGTTTGGTATACCAACCCATCCTAAAAATAGATTTTTTCCGTGATTCGGGCATGTAAAGCTTTGAATTTAGTGTCAACTGAGATAAAACTAAACCAATAACTTTTATCTAACCTTCGGGTTTCCCGTTTCTAGGTTTCCAGATAGCTCTGTGGGTTTCCAAACCTATCCTGAAGAACGCATGCATCTCTACCCAGAGAGGACCGTTGCTGTGGGGTTCTATCTTGACAGCGTACTCCTCCTCCTCCTCCCCCTCTCTCCTGTACATCCGGTTTGTCAAAATCACTTACCCAGAAGAAATAAGAAATAATAGATAGACCTGCAAGGGAACCCGACATGGAACCCCCAGACCGTCTTCACGACGCAGTACATTAACATGCAGCATACATTTCTTAACTAAGAAACCCGGAAACGTTTTAAAATGATAAAACATTACGATTATTTTCAAACTTAAAACGAAAAGGAATAAAAATTTGGCTAGTGACTCAAAACAACCAACTCTGGGACAAACGCTTATTTGATCTTATTATGGACCAAATAAAAAAAAACTTTTAAGCTTCTGAAAAGGTTAATTAAACCCGATTTAAATATTGTGGAAAAGCGCAGAATACAACAAAGTGCGAATTACTCCAAACTATGAAGATTTAAGCTTCTTAGTTGGTATCAATGGATTTCTTAAAGTAGTCATTTTAATTAACACTTCCAGATTAACAACAGTACCATTTAAACCTTTATCTGAACAAAATGTGGAAGATATCGTCGAGTGTCTCACAATTTCAGTAGCCCACAAGTCACTTTTATAGAGAAACCACAATTGAAAATTAACAATTTAAAAAAAGTAATCATGAATATTTCGTTCATTCAATTAAGAGTACCGTTGTGAATCGGAAATACCACTCTAAAAATCAAAAAAAAAAAAGCGTCACTTAAGTCCATAATAATTTCCTCAATGATTTGGACAACTGCCTGGCAAGGTAGATTGCTCCGAAGGCCCCGGATCCAACTGGTTTTCCAATCAACCATCGTTTTTGTCGCATATCTGTTAGCACTGATCCTGCAGTTGAAACATTATAAATGTTTAAGAAGCCAAGGGTATAGATTTCAGAAAATGAAAGTTAAAACCTTTCAATAAATTTTTAGGAGGAAAAATTACTTTTTTTAATGCTCCTTTATCCTCCTTTCCAAAAACATAATTTCATTATTCCATTGTCTTGAGGTAAACGAAGCTTGAGTTTATGCACCCATATTTTAAAACCAATGCAACCATGCTACTTAAGAGCTGTACTTGACTTTTGTAAAAATAAAATTAAATAAAAAACTAACCTTTTGGAACCAAAGGTGCCATCTTGCAGCCAGGAGCCGCTTTATGTCCTTCCATCTTGAATAAGGAAAATTGGGAAAATTAGTTGTCGAGATAATCTGACATCTTAGGATGAATTCTGAAAATAACGATATTAAATAACGATTAAAATACGCGAGATTTTGGGAACATTCTTTAAATAACACAGTCACTAACAATCTTTTTTTCGTGTTTAATATTGAACAATGTCTAACAAAAACAATTTTTTTCGATTCTATTTCGAGGTGGTCACGTGAATTTTTTCTGTTCAGTCTTTTTTCGCCAGTTTCCATTTTAATTTGACTTCTTCTGGGAGATCATCAAACTTCATTAAAGCTTTCTCTAAAATAAAACCAAATTCTAGTTAGTTAGTTAAAAATCACAAACTAAAGGGTCTGTAGAGTGTAGACGTAATTTCAACTTCTAGTTAGTTAGTTAAAAATCACAAACTAAAGGGTCTGTAGAGTGTAGACGTAATTTCAAATTCTAGTTAGTTAGTTAAAAATCACAAACTACAGGGTCTGTAGAGTGTAGACTGTAGACGTAATTTCAAATTCTAGTTAGTTAGTTAAAAATCACAAACTAAAAGGTCTGTAGAGTGTAGACGTAATTTAAAATGACATTCCTAAGATAGATGTCTTTGTCTCAGCATTATGCAGATATTCTTATTCTTATTTCTACAAATAGATTATTTTCAATCGCGGAAATCTAAAAAACGACTTGCGGATTTCTTGCTATAGAAACAATAGAAACTGGTAGAATTTAAAACTGTTCAAGCTTAAAACCCCCACGTTATCTTCTCTATCAGATATTGATTTATCTGATCTGATGTTATCGTGAATTACTTAAAATGACAACGATGAACCCTTTAATTGAAAAATTCTAACCTTGGTATTTAATGAGATTGTAATGCTCTCTCCTTTTCAAATGTTTAATCTTGATTTCATAACTATTATTTTAAGAAAATTAACAATATATTTTCTATGTAGTTTAAACAAATAAGATGCGGGTTCAATATGAAAACTATTATCTATATAATAAAGCTCTTCGCTCATATATATATATGTTAGCTATAGCTGGCCATACGGCTAGACCGAGGTGGCTGAAATTTTTTGAGGGAATCCCCACGAGTACCCAGAGTGTATTTTAGGCTAAAAAACTATTTTTTTTTTTAACTTTTTTTAAAATTCGATTTTAAAAAATTCCAAGGGCAACGCCGGGCACTTGAGTTAGTATTTATCAAAAAGTTATTTTACAGTTTTTGAGAAAACCGGGGAGGGGGGTTTACTAAGTACGACTGATTTGGCTACTATTCAAGTTTATATGGGAAAGTCAGCATTGAAGTAATTAAACTAACCGCAGTTTGGTTACTTAAAGATTCAACATTGTAACCTAGTTCTCTGTAACAAAATAAACCACTCTGATTCTGAACTACTTGGTTGAACAGATATAAACCTGAAATAGGAATATGATTCAAGAATATAGCGACCATGCTTAGCTATGGTTTAAACAAATAGCCGATAATAAACAAAACGAGATAAAAGGCTCAAGGCAAATTCATAAAAATAGAAACATATGTGTGGTCACAAGGTTGAAGAATAATATAGTCCCAACAAAGGTTGTTTATGTGCCAAAATTACTAATCGTAAACTATTGACCTCTATCGTTTTTCAGTATAAATAACTGTAAACAAATTTTTATAATAAACAATTCTAGCTTTAGCAAGATAATAATATGTCTTCGTTAAAACAAAATATATTCAAAACTGTTAGAAACAGTGCACATGACTTTTTACTTTAATTTTTGAATATGAAATTTTTCCGTTACCTTGAGTCTAAACTAGAAGCCTGCATATCAACTATAAGACAGGATAATCCAAGTTTGTTGCAAAGAACACCTTACCACAAAATATTTATCAGTTCCAGACTAGAAAACAAATGTAAAAATTACTATTTAAGACACCCTCTTCCCCCCAAAAAAGAAAATCCCTTCTTAGGAGAAGAGATGGAAAAAAGCAAAAGGGCAAAACTATGTTATGTTGAAAAAAAACCTGCAATTATAAGCTTAAATCTCCAAGAATAAGATAAAACTTTCCTTTAGTTTCTTTCGATTGTACATATTTAAGGAAGCCGATTCATTTCCTATTTCGAACTCATTCGCCCAGATACAATGGCCAGCCCCAGCTCCTTTACCGCACACCAACATTCGGTCCTGAACAGGCGACATTTAGTTGAATTGATTTGGTTTGGGTTAGTTTGGTTTGTTTTGGGTTGTCTGGTCTGGTCTGATCTGATCTGATCTGATCTGATCTGATCTGATCTGGTCTGGTCTGGTCTGGTCTGGTCTGGTCTGGTCTGGTCAGGTCAGGTCAGGTCAGGTCAGGTCAGGTCAGGNGTCTGGTCTGGTCTGGTCTGGTCTGGTCTGGTCTGGTCTGGTCTGGTCTGGTCTGGTCTGGTCTGGTCTGGTCTGGTCTGGTCTGGTCTGGTCTGGTCTGGTCTGGTCTGGTCTGGTCTGGTCTGGTCTGGTCTGGTCTGGTCTGGTCTGGTCTGGTCTGGTCTGGTCTGGTCTGGTCTGGTCTGGTCTGGTCTGGTCTGGTCTGGTCTGGTCTGCTCTCGTCTGGTCTGGTCTGCTCTCGTCTGGTCTGCTCTACCTGGAGATCTTGTTTCTCTCTACACCGTTTCATAAAGGAAAAATCAGATAATCCGGCAGCAAAGAATTCTTTTTACGAAAAGTTCATTTTTTTAAACAAGGAATCATTGATTTTTTTACGAATGAGGAGCTTTTTGCTACTTATGAAAATTCCCTATGAAGTTCTAGAAAGATTAAAATTGCACATTCTGGTTTTTTCGTGATCTTTTCCTTGAAAGTTTGCAAAATCCTCATCCGTTATATTCTCACTCACTGTCCGACGCAAGGCTAAAACATTAGATGTAGAAAAATTGAATTAAAAATATTTAAGATTTGGTGAACCAAGTTGAAAATAATGAATCACCGACAACATGATAATTGACTAGATCTAACAAAGATTCAGAAATAACAACTCAGAACTGAACAAAATGTTGGACCAAACGGTCCGATGATGATGGGTCCTGATGGACCAATGATAGGACCTGGAGGGCCAATGGGTCCTCGAGGAATGGGACCGATGGGACCTATGGGACCCGGAAGAATGATGGGCCCTGGAGGACCGATGGGACCTGATGGACCTAGAGGAATGATGGGACCAGACGGACCTATACTGGATTGTTATTATATCAAATGTGATGTCCACGCGAACTTCGAAAAGACATTTATGATAAGCGTGTTGTTAATTAAGCTGATTTCGCTGTGAAGAAATTTTCTAAAAAATTACGACACGTCCATTCCGTTTTTTATTTAAGCTCTCGATGGAAATAAAATCATACTCAAATTTATTTATAATTCTATCATTCTCTTCCACCTTAAAAAATTTCATGAATATTCATATTTAGCAGAAACTGAACCTTGAATATCTGAATCTCCAGGTAGGTTTATTACTCCAGGGAACTCCTCAATCTCTAGGTTTAAACTCCTAAACCCTTCAACCAGACAATCATACAAACAGTCACCTAAATACAGGAATATAACATAAACATCATGTAATTGGAAACTGGCATATTTTATCTAGAATAGGAGGTTATCATCTAGTAAGGAGACAATACAACAATTAGAACATCAGAGCTGAATACTCTTGTATTGGATGCCCTTAATCCCCAGTGCTAGATCTGTGTATCCACTGTGGACACTTTTGATTCAAGGACATTCAACGTTAATCTCTTCATTTCAGTTATTCCTTCAGGGTACGATTAAAATGCGGGATATCTAATGATTAAATTAATCTGCAAATTAACAAAAGATCAAGATCTCGATAATCCGAGTACAAGAGTTCCCCACTCAGGTTAAAATAATTTACTTATTTTATCTTTACACCTCTAAGGCTTTAATTCGTCCAACCCTGAACTATTTGATCAATGACAAAATTCTAACATAAATTCATATCAATTATAGGGTCCGTCCTAGTATAAGATTTTTAGACCCCTCCCCCCATCCCTCCTATCAACTTAGTACATGACCTAGATTTCTCTAAAAAATATTTATTTATTATTACAGGGTTAGGTTAGGACAATTTCTGGGCCGAGCGCTGCGGCCAGACCTCCAGTATCAATAATTTTCATCAGAAATAGTACAGGCGCGCTAGCACAGGCTAAGGGGCCAGCGCTGCGGTCATGACCAACATTATCCATGTGTGTCTTTATTAAAACTACCTAAAAATCGATAAAAAAAAATGATGTACAAAATTGATATGAGGGTGCGGGGGGGGGCGTTTTAAATTTGATATTAGACTTCCACAGGTCATCTCTATCATCTGACCTAATCATGAATAGAAATAATATATCTCGATGATTTCAAAGAGAACGATTTTCGGTATATTCCTAGAGAACGATTTTCGGACCCCCAATTAATTTTGTAAATGGAGCTAATACGTAACACATGGTTTACGTTAGAGGAGATGAGATCAAGTTCTACGACGGACCCAATACCCGTATATATCAGCATTGAAAATATTTTAATCATGCGAAATGTGTATTCCTAGAGAACGATTTTTGGCCCCCCCCCCCCCTCCTATCAATTTTGTACATGGATCTTACAGAAAGTGTCTTAACTAACCTAACCCGTGGCCGCAGCGCTCGGCCCACTAGCCTTTCCTAGCCGCAACACTCGGCACAGAAAGAGTCTTAACCTAACCTAACCCTAGGACAGACCCCATGTGTGATGCATCCAAATCAAATATTGAACGCAAATAAAATTTTAGCAGACCTGGACAAAATCAAATTAACCTACATGGTTATTTTATTAGTATACATAAAAAAAGAAATAATATTTATTTCTAAATTTTCTCTATATCCAGTTTCAGCGCACAAGTTTACACATATAATACCTGATGCTTTGATGAACTGAATACTGTACTCGTTTTCAACCTCAAATATTTGGTTTAAAGATGATTTTCGGCTCATTATGGAATAAGTGTATTCTGAATGATGTCAAATGTCGACGATACCAAATTTGCTATCGTTTCACATTGCAGGTTCATGTCCCATCGCGCTTTTATACGGACCTTATTTTAATTTCAAGCACTTACATCCACATTTTCATATCCGATACGCAATTTTGTATTTTTTTTTTCTTTGATTTCACTGATTTTCTTTCTAGGATGCTTGTGTCGACGATTTAATCATGTCAAGTGTAGAAATTTTGAATTTGTGTATCTACGTTACAAGAATAAGTGTACACCTAACATACCAAACCAAATATTAGGTTTGGCGCGCTAGAATTCAAACAGTGCTACATCGATTGCACTAACGTCCGAATTGAACTAACGTACTTTTGCACTAAAGTCAGTAACCGGTTTTTAGTGCGATCTAACAACAGTGCAAAGAAACAAAAATCTGTTTTTTTTTGTCCAATTGGACTAAAATTTTATTTTCCCGTCAAGAATATTTTAGTACAAATGAATTAGGTCAAAGAAACAAAACATGGAAGCAGCTTTCACAAAAGTTACGTTATATTAACGTAACAAAACACATATGGTTCAGTATATGAACCAATTACTATCCGTTTGAACCCTAAAGCAGCTTTTACAAAAGTTACGTTGAGTCGTTATTTAACAATTCAACGAACTTACGTTTACGTTCATAGACCTAAAATATTTCCAATAGCATGGTATGTAGGATACGGTGGTATGCGTTTATATCACTACAATGAAGACAATTTATTATTTAAGTTGTGATTGTTAACAAGGTTTTATTCGTATTACAAGTAATGCAAGAGAAGCTTTTTTTGATTTATAATTTCGCTTGAATTTTATGTTTCCATGTGTATATCCATGAAAATTTATAAAATTCATAATTGTCTTCTTTGTATTGATCGCATTTATACACTGTATAAATTGCTGTAAATTAATATAGGAACCCAATATTTTAGCAATTATAAGTGTGTAACTCGCAGTGGCGTAAATAAGGGGGGGTTATTGGGGTACTACCCCCCCCCTAGATTAATCCTAGGGGTAATTACCCTCCCCTAGAATCTTCGAGGTAATTACCCCTGAATAGCAGGGATTACTTCACTTATTGCCCCTACAAGTTTTAGTTGCCTTGCCCCCTCCAAAAAAAAAACATTTCCTCAGTGGTGGAAATAAGGTGGCATATTGGGGTTATTAACCCCTTCCCCCCTAGAATCCTGGGGTAATTATCCCCCCCCCCCTCCTAGAATCTGTTTATAAAAAAAGGTTGATTTTAAAATTGAATATCTTTAAAATTTGCACCAAATAATCTAAATGTGCAGATACTTCAGATATTTCAAATTTTAAGTCAACATATTCAAGTAAGTGAGGAATTTCCCCAGATTCTCCAACATGGTGACTTTCTTTAAAGAATTTCCGAGGAATTTCTCGAGAATCATTTCCTGTAACTGATTCCTCAGAAATTTTCGAGAAATTCCCCAGAATTGGTCCCCATAGATGAGAGTTTTTGTGGGATCATAGTTTTGAGACTCAGTTTCGAGAAATTCCGGAGAAATTATCCGGAAATTCCTGAGAAATTCTTAGGACTTGGTCACCATGTTTACGGATTTTTAGGGGAATTTATTTAGAGAATTAGTTTTGGGAAATTCCTGGGAATTTCTCCGGAATTTCAATAAAAGAGAATCCTGAGAATTTCTCCTGATTACTTCTCTGGAAATTCCTGAGAAATTCTTAGTACTTGGTCACAAAGTTTACGGATTTTTAGGGGAATTAAATACAAGAATTAATTTTGAGAAATTCCTGGGAATTTCTCCAGAATTTCACCCCAAGAAATTCCTGAGAAATTTTCCTGAATGTTTCTCCGGAAATTCCAAAGAAATTCTTAAGACTTGGAACCCAAGTTTACGGATTTTTAGGGGAACTAAATAAGAGAATAAGTTTAGAGAAATTCCTGAGAATTTCTCTGGAATATTTCTCCGGAAATTCTAGATAAACAGGTTAAAGTTATCAAATATGATAATCAGATTCAGTTTAAGTTCAGCCTCAGAATGTTCTCTACATTTGGAACTGAGTTTTGCCACAAACTCAAATATTCTAATCCCTAAATCTTTACACCTAGTGGTGTAAACCCTTGATATTTCAAACTTATATATTTTACTAAAATAATTCAAAGTTTGATACAGCTAGGAAATTTTTTACATTAGATGTTTACAACAGCCTTTAGCCTTGAGAATTCAGAAAGATAAAATTTGTTTTTTAAATTAACCAGAGAAGAATACAATTTCTACAATAACTCTTTTGGTTTTATTATTTCTGACTCCTGTGCTAATGATATTTGCCAATCTTTCTTTTCATTCTGCAGGTGCAGGTGCTAGGGGAGAGCCCACGTACCTTGCCGCCCCCCCCCCTTTGTTGCGCCTCTGCGTAGTTTCTAATTTCTAAAATTTTCTTGTTGTCAATGTATTTGTTAAGATCTTAATTAAATCTTATATGGAAATGCCATTATTTAGATGTAAAATGTATTTTTCATTGCCCATACACTTTTTTCTATAAAAAAAACATCTTATTGTAATGCCATTGACTATTCCTTTAGAATTTAATTAGAATCATTTAGAATATGCTGACTTAAAATCTAAAATATCTGAAGTATCTGCACATTTCAATTATTTACCTGCAAATTTTAAAATCAACCTTGTTTCTAAAACAAATTCTAGGGGGGTGGGTAAATAACCCCAATAACCTCCACTATTTACGCCACTAATAGCATCCTGAACATTTGCATACTATTTTTTTGCATATGAACATTTAAAAAAAAAATTAGCGGGTTTTAATTCATATTTCACGTTATTAAAATGTAATAATTCGAATTTTTTATTATCTTTTAACGTTTCCATGGGAAACGTTACTGGAAAGTTAAAAAGTAACCTAAAAAAACGGCTCGTTTTACATATCATTTACGTATCTGATAAACCTATCCATACCGTAACGCTACCTTATACATAACGATTCTGGAACGTTCTAGAAACGATATTTGGTTTGTCGGGATATACGAATGATAAGACGGATTTAGAATAAAATCCAGGTTGGGTTTCATTGTTTATCAAATCATGGAATAAAAATGAAGTGTTCTTGGGCCCCTGCTTCTTTATATAAACATATGCCTCTTTGCAGATGATACTAGTTTTTTATAGTCATCTCCTGATATTGCAAGCCTAATACTTGATGCAAACACTCAAGTTAAAAAAAGCAGCAAAATGGTTTTAAGCAAATCGTTTGACACTAAATGTCTCCAAAACAAAGTATATATATATATAGTATTTAGAAATAGAAATATGCACTTTGACCCCAACAGTTGTAATATATCAATAGGAAATGAGATACTTGTAAGAATTGGTAAAGACTGCAAAAAATCAGATAAAGTTAATCATAGCGATAAATAGTACTTTCAAGGAACATTCAAATCCATTATTTTCAAAACTTAAAGTTCTTAATCTTGATGATGAATTCAAACTAAGTGTTCTGACATTTATGCATGGATACTTTAATGATACCCTCTTCCTTCCAAAATATGTTTATATGTTTAAGTCTCTAGCTGAACCGAATAGAACAAAATCATATAAATTAGAACGGGGTTTAGACAAAAATCTAGAAAGCATTCCGTCCTCAGTGTTTCCTAAACTGTGGAATGCAATTGAAATTGACCTTAAAGAAACTAAATATGCAAAAATAATAACAAAGAGTAATCAATATTTATCTGGAGAATTATGAGAGGTTTAACTGCAAAAAATCTAGTTGTATATTGTGTGAATAAATTTTATATAAAAAATAAAAGTTCATTTGCTTATTTGTGTTTATGCATCCACCATCCTTTACACCCTGTATTTTATTTTTTCTCTACATTAATCCCTCTGATCTCACCCTGCCGAGGGGAGGAAGGCCAACCACAACAATTTCTCGACCGAGCCACATTCTCCACCTCGAAATCCTCGTCCTTTCAATATTATTTTTCTTAAGTGTCTAATCCTCCAAGATTCCAAGGTGGCTCGGACGAGAAATGAGGAAAATGTGGCTCGGAAGAGAAACTGTTGTGGTTGGCCTTCCTCCCCTCCCCTGCCTCAGATCACCTGACGATCTCCTACCTCCAAATCAACTCCCTACTTATCCAAAAACATTATTTGATGTGTGTAACCAATTATTTTCATTATCGTTAACTAACTTAGGGCCAACCTACCCTGGTTAGGTGGGTCCAGACTGCATAGTAAATTGTGATTGCTTATTTGTAATATTCATGCTTTGTAGTTGAATAAGAATATAAAAAAAAATATGAAAGGCAAGTGTTCAGTTTCTTTTCTATTAGTCAGCTCAGCAATATAATGAAAAGGTTGACCAAAATTCATCAACTGAATTGAGCATTTAATATTTTACTATCCAGTATACTTAGATCATCATATTCTAACCCTTTTTTGTATATGTATTCATAGGAAAGCACAGAGAAACTTTATTAAACATAATTTTACATTGAACACATTTTTGGTCAATTTTCTTGACTTGACACGTTGAAAATCTGGAAGCCTTATGGAAGACGATAGTTACTGGAAGACGACGTTCATCTAAAGAAGAATGTAAACTGTATTAAATCAAACATTTGTTTGATAGATTGTATTATTACCATTTCTTAATTCTATTCTTGAGTGTAATCATGATCAGCAATTAACTCGTGGAGGGGTTTTTCTCCACCTGAAACAGCATAAATTAATTAAAGAGCTAAAAATGTGAGTTGAATCAGATAAGAAAAAAAAATTCAAGAGATTTAACATGTTACCACAATGAGAAAATAAACCACCCTCAAGCTCCATAAAGCTTGAAAAGTATTAAACTCATTTAAAAATTAAAAAAATTTTTGTTTAAGAATAAGGGTTTCGTCCATATAGGAGATAGAGGAAAGTCCTCGTTCAAAAACAACAAAAAACACTTGAAGAAAAATTGTTTAAAAATGAACCTGCAAGAGCACTAAGAATATTGTAAGGAGGTTGCTGAGCACTGAGGCCTGGTACAAATGGTTCTAAAATAAAGAAATGTAATCATACCTATACTTTACCTACTTTGCCTGAAAAATTAGGATATCCAAAAACTCCCTTCTTGACTTGCACCACCTCCACTGAACTTTACCTCCCTTAACTTCTTCTCACTTGTCCTGACCTATCCTAACCTCTAGAGACATACACAGGGGGACTAATGGGGGCTTAGCCCCACCTGAACCAGTAAATTATATGGTTTCCAGTGGGTGTTCAGGCCTCAACGGATGCTAAGCCCCCCCCCCTCTGGAAAGAAAAAAATGTAAGCCCCTCCCCCGGAAAAATTCCTGTGTACGCCCCGGCAGTAACCTCACATTCCCCTTAACGAAAGAGAGTTAAAGATCGGACATTTGATAAAAAACTACTCATATTTAGATATTTGCTGATAATAAAGTTAAATGTAATGACTCATTGAGCATATTCAGCAAGAACATGATGAAAATATAATGTAATTTGCAAGTATACTGTAAACTGTACCCGTTATAATCTATGCAAATTATATTTACATATGTTTTCGCTTTCTCTGTTTTAAAGTATAAACTAAAAAGTGCAGAATATACTGAATGTTTACAGCACTTATACTTTAACATTGTTCAATGTCTACAAAGAGCAAAAAGCACAGGTTTTATCAAAAATTATTGAGAACTATTACAAAATAAGATTGTTATTGTATCCTTCATGGATGCCCACAACTGCGTCAGTTTAAAAATAATAAAGTATCTAAAATATGTATCATGTCTAGGGTTTCCTATCGAAATTTGTGCACGAAAATCTTGCAATAATTGGGTAAAGATTTTCTTACGTTTAGATTAAAACTTGCACTTTTCGATATGATTTCGCATTAATGCGCAAATGCTATTTGGTTTTTGCGCATTTCGTTATTCCTGCTATTTCGTTATTCCTGCTATTTCGTTATTCCTGCTATTTCGTTATTCATACTATTTCGTTATTTCGAGCTATTTCCTTAAATTTCGAGAAACAACTCCAGGAAATGAATGGATCCAAAATTAAATCAGAGCCCCACTAATACTATACTCCGGTCCGCTCTCACCGCACCTTTGGCGGTGGCCTCACTTTTAATGTTTTAAAAAAGTCACCATTTAAGATTGGTAACAAACAAACAGAAACAAAAACAAGAGAAATGTATAAATATCTATATTGATTAATACATAGATGAACATCTCTTGATGGCACATTTTCGAGTTTTTTCAAAACATATTTACAATAACAAATTTGTATTTTAGAAAGTGATATAAAAGTTGTTTTTTTTTACTGAAACTAATTTACATTTATCTCAGCAATAAGTCATACAACAAATATTACTTGTTTTCGTATTCATGTGCAAATTATGACTTTTATTCATCCACAATTTCGTGCAAATAAAAAATATCTACTTCGAATGAATGCGTAATTTCGTGCAAACCTGGTTTCGTATTAATACGAAAATGATGCGAAATTTCGTGTAAAAAAAGCGAAACTGTTGCGCAAGAGAATCACTGTTTCGTGGAAACCCTAATCATGTCAGTGTCAGTGAACTGATGTAATTCATATCACTTAAGGATTTTAACTGGATACAATTTCCTAGCAGACAGTCATCACTCGTCCTTTCATGGTAGTTTACTAAACTAAGTGTACTTCACCTGCTCGTTTCCCCCTCTTATAGTTCCCTGCCTTGTTCAGGGCTGTAATCCAGAACCCGTAGCTCCTATACAAAACAAAAAAACATTATTATAAAAAAATGCTATTCCATATTTACAAGAACAATGCATTTTCATCAAAGTAAATTTAATCTTTGTTTAGCATAGATATCTTAATTTCACGAATAAAAGAACAAACGATACCGAAGGTAATAGTTCTAGTAATTATATTAATTAGAGAAACGAGTAACATGTTAAAATTCATATAGAATGTTTAAGATATTTTCAATTTCACATAGAGATGATTGTTTCCAAAACTAATTTTAAACTTTCGCCTTGCTAAAGAATCTATGCTCGAAATAACTTCAAGAAGAATTTGAAATAGACGGAGAACTATTTTCTTTATTTCTTTTCTATTTAAAGCCCTTTGCATCGATATACTTGATGCAATATTCACCTCTATAAATAGCAAGATTAATAGAGGGAGAGAAAGAGGAAGTAAAGAGTGAGTATGAGTAGGAATAGGAATTGGAAGTAAAGAGTGACTATGAGTAGGAATAGAAGAAAAGGGATTAGGAATAGGAAGTAAAGATTGAGTATGAGTAGGAATAGGAATTGGAAGTAAAGAGTGAGTATGAGTAGGAATAGGAATAGGAAGTAAAGAGTAAGTATGAGTAGGAATAGGAATAGGAAGTAAAGAGTGAGTATGAGTAGGAATAGGAATTGGAAGTAAAGAGTGAGTATGAGTAGGAATAGGAATAGGAAGTAAAGAGTAAGTATGAGTAGGAATAGGAATAGGAAGTAAAGAGTGAGTATGAGTAGTAATATGAATAGGAAGTAAAGAGTGAGCATGAGTAAGAATAGGAATAGGAAGTAAAGAGTGAGTATGAGTAGGAATAGAAATAGAAAGTAAAGAGTAAGAATGAGTAGGAATAGGAATAGGAAGTAAAGAGTGAGCATGAGTAAGAATAGGAATAGGAAGTAAAGAGTGAGTATGAGTAGGAATAGGAATAGAAAGTAAAGAGTGATTATGAGTAGGAATAGGAATAGGAAGTAAAGAGTGAGTATGAGTAGGAATAGGAATAGGAAGTAAAGAATGAGTATGAGTAGGAATAGGAATAGGAAGAAAAGAGTGAGTATGAGTAGAAATTGGAATAGGAAGTAAAGAGTGAGTATGAGTAGGAATAGGAATAGGAAGAAAAGAGTGAGTATGAGTAGAAATTGGAATAGGAAGTAAAGAGTGAGTATGAGTAGGAATAGGAAGTAAAGAGTGAGTATGAGTAGGAATAGGAATAGGAAGTAAAGAGTGAGTATGAGCAGGAATAGGAATACGAAGTAAAGAGTCTAGAGCATAGAAGTATAGCAAAAGAAAAGAGAAAAGTAAAATTCGTGAAAAAAAAGGATTTAAGATAGTAGATAACCCAATAATATGAGGGAATAATTTATAGGACAGAAAATTATCTGCCTATTTTATATGTTTTCCGATAAAATTCTTACAGAATAAAATTTTTTCTCATACATTTTTCTTTCATAAAAAGATAGATGGTAAAAAAGGCAAAAATTAAAATACAAATCCAACAAATGAAAAATATTACTTGTTATCGGCATATTTGTTCCCCCATCTATTCCTGTATCCTCTTTTCATCTTCATGGAACCTAAAAGTCATATAAATATGTAGATACATCAATGTGCACGAAAAGCTTGGTAAATAGGGGCGTACACAGGAATTTGTCCAGGGGGTGAATTTTTTTCTTTCAAGAAGGGAGGGGCTTAGTGGCCAGAAACCCCCTTGGAAACCATTATTTAACTGATCCAAGGGGCTGAACCCCGTATCCACCCCCCACCCATCCGTGTATGCCCCTGTTGGTGAAGGGATAAAGCATGAGATTTCCTTGCACCCAACCTTGATTAGTTTCCTCCTCCTCTAGGTCAGGGTGGAGCTCCATCTCTCTCATCTTGAGGTTCGCCAGGTACTCAAGCAGATCATCTCTGCAGGAAAACTTCTTGTTAAAGATTTAGTAAAAATAGAATTTCTTGTAAAACTTTCTAATTCAAAACCATGTTTGCAGAAAGATATTTGATCAAGAATTGAACTAAATATTGGAATATAAAGTTTTGAATTGAATTAAATATTGGAATATAAAGTTTTGAATTGAATTAAATATTGGAATATAAAGTTTTGAATTGAATTAAATATTGGAATATAAAGTTTTGAATTGAATTAAATATTGGAATATAAAGTTTTGAATTGAATTAAATATTGGAATATAAAGTTTTGAATTGAATTAAATATTGGAATATAAAGTTTTGAATTGAATTAAATATTGGAATATAAAGTTTTGAATTGAATTAAATATTGGAATANATCCATCTAAATATAGAGTATTGTATCCATCTAAATATAGAGTATTGTATCCATCTAAATATAGAGCAGAAAATCCATGTTAAATATAGTGTATTGTATTCATCTAAATATAGAGCATTGTATCCATCTAAATATAGAGTATTGTATCCATCTAAATATAGAGTATTGTATCCATCTAAATATAAAGCAGAAAATCCATGTTAAATATAAAGTGGAAACTAGTGAATGTATCTCAATATAAAGCATTGTATCCGTCTAGATAAAGAGTAGCATTGTATTAATCTTAATAAGCATTGAGGGATAGAAAATTTAGGTTTGTGGCAAAGGCTCAATTTTTAGTTGTTTCTGACATTTCATAAAAATTTTATTATATTAATAAATCCTGACTCTTGAAATTTATGCTTCCCAGTCTTGCCAAATATCCAACAGATTGTAATCGTAAATCTCTTCACGCTTATTGAATGCCAAATTACAAATTTTCTGTAAAATATGTAAAACACTGCAGAACTGAGCTTAGAATAGTGTTTGCGGTGAAAGGTTTATCTCCATTTAATTTTCTAAAAGTAATGTTTTACTGGATTTCAAAAGAAGTAAAAAAAAGTATTTTTTTTAAACTCTTTTTAGACTGTTTCTAACGCCGATTATACATAAGAAATGAAAATGTGTAATAAGAGAAGAAAATATATCTCATAAACTCAACGTCCTAAGCTTAATTTGCTGCGACCACACAAGTCATATTTTACAGTTTACACAATTCCAGATATTAATTTAAGTTATTGTTATAACAGCCATTTAAAGGAATTAAGTTGTTATGCCACAAACTCTGATTTTCTAATCCCTATACCTTTGCAACCTGATGGTGTAGACCTAAGATATTTCATACTAAAAAACTGTGAAATGTTATAATCTAAGTTAAAAATTTTAAAGCATCAAGTTATATATATAGAATTAGAAAATTTGAAATTGTGGAATAAACTCAGTTTCTTTGTTTAAAGAAATATCTGTAAAGTTTGAAAATAAGGCAAATATGAACCTGGTTGTTGAACTTGTTGAAGTTGCTGAAGTTGTTGAAGTTGTTGAAGCTGATGCAGTTGCTGTTGTCGTTGTTGTTGTGGTCGAAGAGCAGGGGTTGCGGCTGCAAGTCCAGTGACCAATACCAAAATTAGGACTTTCATCTAGAAAATATTTCTTTAATCATTTTAGCCCCCCTACCCCACACAGTGGGGTATTAAGGGGGGGGGGTCAGCCAAAATGAGTTTATTTCATAAACCTCTTAATTATGTCAAGTAAGACTTGGCCCTTTAAGAATTTTTTTGGGAGAAGTCTCTATAAGTTGTTTCAATGTTATGTTAAGAATTTCGACCGAAAACCCGCTATTTCATTGAATACTCTTAAAATAGGATTTTTTCAACTCGCTCCTCTGCCGAAATCAAGTTTTTTTGAGTGCTACAGACGCCCCTAAATCTTTTCTATATTGCTGTTAGAATCTATTTATATATTTAGATTATCCCGAAACCCCTGTGCTTTCTTGTACTTTTGCTATTCCGAAATAGCTCGCTGTAACAAAGACGACATTTTAATATATTGCGGGTTTACAGGATCCATTTAAGGATAAATATGTGAACGGGAAAAGTAATTATAAATTGAAATCATTGTAAATCAATCAAGCAAGCTACAAGTGACCAATCCCTTTCGGAAAACCTTTATTCCTTCTCACCTTGTTTAAGTTAGTTATACGTCTGTTTCTCTCCGTGTTTGTTTGAGTAGACCAGAGAAAACTGTTTTCTAGTTTAGTTCTAGGTCTGTATATCTGGGTATACTCAGATATACTGGTCCAGAGCCTCAGATTTGGGAGCTCCCAGGGGGTAGGTTTGCCAATATGGGGAGGGGGACAATGTTAGGCTAGGATGGTAAGTCGGAGGCTCGAGAGGAAAATGGTCATAAGACCAGCGTAAATAAAAATTGGAGACTCTACGCACCACTCATATTTTCATTTTAAAACATTCTCTGTCGCTGAAGAGAATGAAATTACATATTTACATAAATACATAAATAAATTTTAGCTTTATATGATGTGATATCAATTATAGGAATTGAGCCTTTGCCACAAACTCAAATTTTCTTTACAACCTGATGTTGTAAACCATATATGATATTTCAAACTTAGATTACAAATTTTTTACAAATATTAATCAGTATTTAATTTACTTATCGCACATTATTTAAAAATTTAAGTTTAAAATATCAAAGATTCCAACCAAATATAAGTTTGTGGCAAAGACTTAGTTCATTATATAAGTTTTATTCTGAACATCTTTAAATTTCATGATTTAACCTGAAACTTGTATTTCCAATCTTTCTTTCCTTGAGCTTAAACCATCTCCAGTTTTAATCTGAATCTCTTAAACGCCTATCCAAAACCGTCTCCAGGTTTTATTTTTCTATTTTATTTAGTTTTTTTCGCTCAAACTTTAAATAAAGGCCTTAGCTCCTATTTATAACTTTCTAGATTTTGGTAAAGATTTTGGTAAATTCCGCATTTTTTTTGTTGCCTTTTTAATTGCTTTTATTATCTAGAGAACACTTTTTACATACAAAAAGCAAGGGGGAAAATATTATTTTTAACTTAAAAAAATGCCAAGTGAATTATTGATAGTTTTCCCTATTAATGTCAAATTTTTGAAACTATCCCATTGAAATTTAAACTTTTAAGGACTGTAAATGAAAAATGAAAGGGGGTATAGGCTGAAACCTGAGCATTTTAGGAGTTAATTGAGACCTATAAGAGTTCTATCTGATGTTCCTGTCTCGAGAAATTGACATAGAACTGTGTCAAAATTATACCAAAACTCATACATGAGAATTTTAAACAGATCATTCCATCAAATACGCAACCAATCTGAAAACGACGATATCCCTGAGAAGCCTGAAAAACTTCAACCAATGGCAGTGCAGTATCATTGTCACGTGATACAGACGGAGAAACGTGACAATGATATTGCACTACCATTGATTGAAGTTCTGATCACGTGATACAGACAGGAACATTAGATAGAACTCCTAATAGAACTCCTATAGGTCTCGATCAACTCCTTAATTGCTCAGGTTTCATCCAATACCCCCAGCTCCAAATTTTATAAATACGTATCTAAAAACCCTTCGAAAAATGAGGTTATTTACATGTATTACTTAAATGTTAGTATTTTTCGATTTTTCCGACTTAATTTTTGGTTAAAACTTTCATCACCCTAATCAGGCAGGTTAAAGGTGAAATTGGTTTTAGTGAGCCAGCCAAAAAATATTGGGAATTCTATTCTAGTCTTGCATTGCAAATATTATTCCTGCAACTCATGTAGATTGTTTAGTCAAGCAGCAGTAGTATCATCTTAGCTGTGAACCTGAACACTGACAGTGTTAAAAGTAGAGAATTATGCATAAAGCTGAGGGTTCAATGTCCAGTGTCCACACTCTTCCTAAAGTCCATTCTATTTCGAAATGCACACCACACAAGTCCGCAAGTTTAAAAATAATCTGTTATCTTTATTTTACATAAAAATATATATTTATTATCAGTTGTGCAGCACTTTGCAATGAGTGAAAAAAGTAAAATGAGACTTTTTCATTACATCTAAAAAATATTCATTAAAGTATATGAAGTGTTTTTTGTAATCTAGCCTTGGGAGCTTTTACACCTTTTTTATTTTATACGTGGAACTTTACTGGCACATATTTAGCCTCGATTTTCATCTGTTTTTGGGATTTATAAGTTTTCAAAAATATTTAGATATGTTTATAAAATACAAAATTATATATATATTAAAAGTATCTTTTGGTGAATATTTGTTCTTACTGAAGTCATTAGTCAACACGATTTTTCAGAACGTTTTCTATTGTTTATTTTGCCTTATATTTTATTTACCATGTCAAGGCACGCGGACTTATCGGTTCGGTCCTTGTCCCAGAGAACGATGACTTTCGAACACAAATTGACCTTTTAAAACTTTTCACTTTTTCTCTTCTATACTTTTTTGTCGGGATATACGTTTTAACGTATACAGAGAAAACTCCGTAAGTAAGACTATAATGAATTACAGAGCAACACGCATTTTTGTCCCAATAAAAGAAATCGAAAGCACCTCGCTTGGTGATGATGGAGCACACAATATCATTAAGGGAAAATTATTAAAAAATTATGTAAAATTACGAGCACACAATAACCGCCTTTTTCACAAAATGTAATGTAATCTGGAAGAACATTTTTTTAACTTAATTGGGCTACGGGTCTATAAAATAGATATAGTTTAGGTTAAAATTCTGGGGTACCTGCATATCATCCTCTTTACTTCATGTGTGAAATACATAGAGAATAGAACATATATTAGAGGGGAATTTACTAGAAAAAAGTGTAAAACGGCCATTTTGTTGTACTGTTTCCATACTGCAGGTGTACTTCACATATTTATGCTATATAACCTGTTGGGCCCTGGAATATCATTTTATAGAAAATCTAAAATTATTGTTAAAAGAAAACCAAATTATGAAATAGACTGGTTCCATAATTGACCAATGATCAATGATCATTTCACATAGACTCTATGCCTTCCACTTTACAAACGATGATTTTCCGTTATAACTATAAATCAAATGATGTTTTTATTCACCTAATTCATTATAAAGTTTATTTAACAGTTTAAAAAATTCGAAATTGAAATGGATAGTCTAGGGAACATACTGTATTAATGTACTCTACTGCATATACATTGTGAACATTTACAAGATTTGTACACTTTGAACTCCCTTTCAGGCTGAAAGGGACTGACAAAATTCATACCGAGAGATTCTTTTAATTCCTCTCTATATATTCTATTCTCTATGGTGAAATATCAGAGATTTTAAGTGACAATATTGTTTCAATACGTGGTATGTACAGTACAGCGAGTACGGTAGTCCCCAATGAGGTTATAGTGTATAGAGTGATGATGTACGTTAATCCTTTACTAATTGAATAGGCCAATCAGCTATACCGAGAGCTTATACTGCACATTTGTCTGGCCTAACCTATAGTATATCAATATTAGTAAACAGTTGTAAGTGTACAGTACAGCTAACCGAGCACACAGGTAGAGAACTATCATCCCCTCTGGTAGTCCCCCTCAAAAGTACTATTCAAGTTTTTACTGTCAAGAACGAAAACTTGAAAGTACATTTAAATTAGGCTTTAAAATATCAAAGAATTTCAAAGCTCATTGCGCAAATACAATTTCTAAATGACAAGGGAGAAATTCCGAATCTATGTGTTTAGAATAAATGTCAGGTTTATGGTAAAATTATGTTTAAAGTTATTTATTTATTAGAAAAATGGCGGCAGAGCATCTAGTTTGGAGAGAATTGACAGCAGAAGAGAAACATATACTAGAGGTATGAAACCCTTTAAAACCATTTAAAACAATTGTTGAAATATTTTGTTTCATGTTTGTGTTTATGGATTCGGGGTTTTGACGCACAGAGTTTTCAAGAAATATTTTTTTAGATTGCATCTTATTTTAGTGGTTCTTTAAAAAAATTGTTTTAGGTCGGTCATGATGATAGCAACCGGAATATGAAAGATCAAATATGGTAAAATTTTCCTAAATATTACTAAGATCGTTTCTCAGATCTCCCTCCACAGATAAAACAGATAGAAGTAAAACAGATGTGTGTAAAAATTATGTTAAAACGTAAAATAGAGGAAACGAAAATTATGATAATTCTTGTCCGAACTGTATATATGTGTTTATTCTCTTTGCCTTCAGTTTTGAAAAGCAGCGAATGATAATCCCGCGAACTTATCTCAAGTTCATGGATGATATGTACAATTTTCCTGTTAAAAAAGACGACATTTGGATTGTAACCTATCCCAAGTGTGGAACCACGTGGATGCAGGAAACTGTGTCTATGTTGATCAACAATGTTGACCAGGTAAATAATAACAAGACATCTTAGACTTTTTAAATACTTCTAGAAAATATTCAATTTTTAATGGCATTGGAAAACACTGACGTTTAATTTTAAAATTGGGTTACACCCGCGTTTCTTATAAAAATGTTGAAATGGTGGGTTACGTACACACCTGCATAATATTTCTTTTTAAAGAATTAAAGATATCTTTATTTCCCATTTCCAACAAATTTTATTTTATTTTTATTTTCTTTCTTTCTCTATTTCTCGTAGGAATATGGAAAACTGCCACAGATATTTAGAAGCCCTTTTCTGGATATAGATACACTAATGGTATAGGTTTATTCTTATACGTTTGGAAATTATTTATTTTATTTTTATTCTTTTTTCATTTCTTTCAGAACTCGATTTTAAACCACTTAATGTTTGAAAATCCTAAATGTATATAATTAACTGAAGACAAATGAGATGATATATAGTTAACTTATTTTTGATTTCACCTTGGGTAAATTCAACAATTTTGGTTCACAAGATCACAAATTACAAAAAAACAACATCATCGAGGAAAATCGCATATTAAGATGAAGGGGGGGAGGGGGGTATAAAAATCTGTCTTTTATCATATTACAATATAGGATGGAAATGAAAAAGGAGAGGGTTTACAGGTACCAGAGGACACTCCAGACTTTATGAAGGTATCTTTATTTTTGTAGACATTTAATGTTTGTCAGAAAAATGTTTTTATTTTATCTCATTTTTTTCTATAGAAGATGATGGAGGAGTTTTCTAAAGGTGTCATACCGTTTGCAAGAAAGATGAGTGGAAGGTATGTTTTTACATAATACACATTGAGTGGAAGACATGTTTTTTCATAATACATATTGAGTGGAAGGTATGTTTTTACATACTACATATTGAGTGGAAGACATGTTTTTACATAATACATATTAAGTGGAAGGTATGTTTTTACATACTACATATTGAGTGGAAGGTATTTGTTTAGGCATATTGAGTGGAATGTATATGTTTACATAATACATATTGAGTGGAAGGTATGTGCTTACATAATACATATTGAGTGGAAGGTACGTGTTTACATAATACATATTAAGTGGAAGGTATGTGTTTACATTATACATATTGAGTGGAAGGTATGTGTTTACATATTACATATTGAATGGAACGTATGTGTTACATATTACAAATTGAGCGAAAGGTATGTGTTTATATAATAAATATTGAGTGGAAGGTATGTGTGTAAGAATTTGAGTGGAAAGTAACATTTTAACCATATTGAGTGGAAGGTATGTGTTTAAGCATATTGAGTGGAAAGAATGTGTTTAATCATATTGAGTGAAAGGTATGTGTTTAAGCATATAGAGTGGAAGGTATGTGTTTAAGCATATTGAGTGGAAGGTATGTGTTTAATCATATTGAGTGGAAGGTATGTGTTTAAGCATATTGAGTGGAAAGAATGTGTTTAATCATATAGAGTGGAAGGTATGTGTTTAAGCATATTGAGTGGAAGGTATGTGTTTAAGCATATTGAGTGGAAGGTATGTGTTTACATATTAAGCTTGTGACATCTGTTAATCTCATGTCGTATTATAGGCGCGTACTAAAAAGTCACATGTCCTTTGACTTTTTACCCCCAAACCTGGAGGACAAGGTAATTCAATAGTTTTCTTATTTATAATTTATGGTAAGCAAATTGCATGTATTTATGTAATGTTGTAATGTTCGGGGTGTTCCCAAAAAACATGCGATTAAGAGACGACTTGAAAATTGTCTTCGATTTCCGATAGTTTATTAATTACAAAGAATGTGTCAAAATAAAGAGCTTTTGAGAATGTGGTCTGCCTCTTTTGTTTCTTCAAAATTAAACATTTAAAGATTTCGTTATAATTTAAAAATATTAATCAAAATTAACAAATCCATAGCTAATAGCTCAATGCTGCGATACCACAAATCCATAGCTAATAGCTCATAGCTGCGACACCACAAATCTCCGCAATAGATCATCCGGCTCATCAGAAATTTATTGAAGTTTTCTGCATATTTTTATAACAAAAGAATTTGTATAGTTTGATATTATTTCTCGATGAACAAAATATTGTTTTTAGTCAAAAATCAGAGCTGAATATATTGCCTTATTTTCTGTAAATATTGCAAGCATTTTTTAGATAAGTTTTAAGATCTACAAAAACATTCTTTATCTTTTAATAAACTCTCAATATTTTAGTTTTATATTCCATAAAAATATCATTTTACATTTTGGAATGTTTTAGTGACATCAATATGAAATATCAAATTACTTATATATTTCATGGGTTCCAAAAATATATAAAGATTAGAAAATCAGATTGTGTGGCTGCTGACTAAAAAGTATTGTAAGAAATAGTTGTATATTCTAGTGTAAAGTAGTGTATGTAGCACGGCAACCAAAGGACTGTATTGTAAGCTTCTATCATCACAGCATAAACATGCCACTACATGGATATCAACAAAGGTATTAACCATAAATTGTATCATGTTAAAAGATATTTTATCAGATACCAGATATTACCCATAATATTTTATCAGATACCAGATATTACCCATAATATTTTATCAGATACCAGATATACCCATAATATTTTATCAGATACCAGATATACCCATAATATTTTATCAGATACCAGATATTACCCATAATATTTTATCAGATACCAGATATTACCCATAATTTTTTATCAGATACCAGATATACCCATAATATTTAAAAAATTGTATAATCAAGTTGGCAGAAAACAACTTAAAAGTAAAACTAAATAGTATTCCTTGCCTACACTGATTCTTAAAATCAATATATTAAAGGACAATCTTTATAAAGAAGAGCAAAATCTGATATTTTCAACACTTATTAATATTATATATTCTTTAGTTTGTCTACGTTTGCCGAGGAAATGATGAAGGGTGTAGTTCTGTTTGGAGACTACTGGAAACATCTAGAAAGGAAATGTATATTTGTCTAATTGAATCCAAAACTGATATATACAATACATACAGTATTACCGTCGAAGGATAAGTCTTTAATGACGACCATAAACACTTTTAATTTGACGGTTTGAAGGTTTAATTTTGTCATCTGCCTTATTAGATAGTCTTGTGATGGAATATTCAATAATATATAATGTGTAAAGAAATAAAAAAATCAAAGCTGCGGGTAACCATGAAAGTGAAGGGAAAAATGCATAGTCATCTCTAAAGTCTCATCCTTTGTAGGTACCCCCCCCTTGTATTACTCAAAAATACCCCCCCCGGCCCCCCTGCCACCCCCCACAACACCTCACATTATAAAACAAAACCTAAACCTGATATCTGATAAATATCCTATAGCGGATGGAAACTACGAAATCACCCGAACGTAAAGTTTATCTGGTTTGAAGATATGAAGAAAGATTCCAAGTAAGATATAATTTATTTCTAATATTAAAACGTAAATAAATAACGAAATGCCATTTACAATTAGAAAGGTGATTGAAGAGCTCTCAGTGTTCCTGGAGCATCCCTTGTCCGAGGAGAAGGTTGATCAGTTGGTTCACCATGTCAGGTAGATCAATATACTTCGCCTTGTCATGTCAGGTAGGTCAATATATTCGCCTTGTCAGGACAGGTAGGTCAATATACTTCGCATTGTCAGGTCAGGTAGGTCAATATACTTCGCATTGTCATGTCAGGTAGGTCAATATACTTCGCCTTGTCATGTCAGGTAGGTCAATATACTTCGCCTTGTCATGACAGGTAGGTCAACATACTTCGCCTTGTCATGTCAGGTAGGTCAATATACTTCGCCTTTTCATGTCAGATAGGTCAATATACTTCGCCTTGTCAGGTCAGGTAGGTCAATATACTTCGCCTTGTCATGTCAGGTAGGTCAATATACTTCGCCTTGTCATGACAGGTAGGTCAATATACTTCGCCTTGTCATGTCAGGTAGGTCAATATACTTCGCCTTGTCATGTCAGGTTGAAAATATACTTCGCCTTGTCATGTCAGGTTGGTCAGTATACCTCGCCTTGTCATGTACCACACTCAACTAAGCTTTCGATGTGTTCTGCAGTAATCATCAGTACTCTAACCGAAGAAAAAGTAGCGTTTAGTGGAGAGTGGTAGGACAATAAACTTTGCCTTGCCAGGTAAGGTTGGTTAATTGACTTCGCCTTGTCATGTCAGGTATGTCAATTTACTTTGCCTTGTCATGTCAGGTTTGTCAATTTACTTCGCCTTGTCATGTCAGGTTTGTTAATTTACTGTGCCTTGTCATGTCAGGTATGTCAATTTACTTCGCCTTGTCATGTCAATTTACTTCGCCTTGTCATGTCAGGTATGTCAATTTACTTCGCCTTGTCATGTCAACTATGTCAATTTACTTCGCCTTGTCATGTCAGGTTGGTCATTTATTATACCTTGCTACGTTAGTGAGTCATTTTATTTTCCCTCATGATGCTGAATAATGACACAAAAATACTTTTAACGAAAAAATGTTATCCTTATTATTTCGCAATAAATACTGTCCTAAAACTATCATTAACAACTTAGTGTTGAATAGGAAAAGGAAAATATCTATAAAAGTGATTAATAAAAAGATCTGTTCACTCTGAAAACACCCGAACATTTATTTAGTCTGACCATTGAAGCTTGGTGCCAGCAATATGTAAAACCCGAAATCTTTAAAGATGTTTATCCTGAAAATGTAAACAATCTCTCTACAAATTTTTTTTTCTGTTGCTATATTTTCTATTGCAGTGTACTTTTTGTATAAGCAGTTAGGGAAACACAAATAGCATTCCTGGTTTAGAGTTTTCTTGGTTTGGTGTTATTGTAAAAACCTTATATAAACCTGCGGTTAAATGTAAATATATTACATAAAGTAAAACATAAACTTCTTCTTCATTACATATACAAGCAGTACATAACCTGTACTAGCCTCAATTAACTTTTGATTATACCCATGGAAAAGACTCTTAGATCACTTGAAAACACTTAGGTCCCTTTGAAGTAAGTTACCCTCACCCAATTTCTTAACTCGTAATCGTTAGACTTTGTAAAATATTTTTTAGGTAAAGGTTCTCTCTTTAAAAAGCAGTTGTTAAAACCAGAGCCTCATTTTTAAACCAATTTTTGTTATATCAACAAATTGTTTGTTATATCAACAATTTGTTTGTTATATCAACAATTTGTTTGTTATATCAACAAATTGTTTGTTATATCAACAAATTGTTTGTTATATCAACAAATTGTTTGTTTTCTAAAAATTGTTTTTTCCAAAAGTTAATGAAATTTGCTACGAAGATAACACAATGTTTAGTTTTTCTCATTATATCATTAGTTTTTATACATATTTTATACAAGCTGAAGGGCCCGGCGTTGCCTGTGGAATTTTAAAGATTAAAAATGATTTTTTTTAATTAAAAGAATTTTAATTAAAATTTTTTTTAGCCTTTGTTACCCCCAGGGGACCAAAATAATTCAGCCAATTAGGACTAACGGTTTGGCAAGCTATAGTTAATATATATATATATATATATTTATATATGAGTAATATATGAGTAAAGAGCTTTATTATAGGGAAGATTTACAAAAAATCTTAAATTAAATAATGCTCTAGTGGCTTAATTTACATATTATTTAAATGATTAGTTATAAAAGTTTAGTGATAAAAAGTTTAGTGATAAAAGTTAGATATTGCAGTTGATGGAATTTTTTTGAGTTACCTTTTTTCTCTAATATCCTATTATTTAGTTTTGACGTAATGAAGTTAAACAAAACAGCGAATCCAAGTGCTATGATGAAGGTGATATTTTTAAAGAAAATGAATTGATTAAGAACTTTCCTCAATTTTAAATATAACGTTAAGTCAATTATCCTTCAAACCTGCAGCTGAAAATCTTTCTTATTTCTTATTCTCGCCTGTCTTGTTTTCGTCTTTGATATTAAATGATTAAATCAAATAATGCATCAATCCTAGATATTTATTAGAAACTGATATGTTATTTATTAGATATTTATTAGAAACTGATATGTTTAATTTATCATTTGATTTTTACAGTTGCCTGAAGAAAAGAATTTTATGAGAAAGGGACAAGTTGGAGACTGGAAAAATTATTTTTCAGGAAAACTTTAATAATAAGTTGAACAAAACAATTGAGTCTTTGCCACATAATTTCTAATCTCTAAATCTTTGCTACCTGATGATGTAAACCTTTGTTATTTCAGACTTAAAGTATTTAATCAAACAGAATTCATAGTTTGAAATATCCAAGGTCTAGGACAGTGGGTTGCAAAGATATAGGGTTTAGAAAATCAGTTCTTTTCTTATAAAGGATATTTTTTAAGTAGTTAACTGTTTACATTTTCAGAGGGGGGGGGGCAAGGAAATGATAAAAGCGCAAAAATATTTATTTCGGAAAAAATTATTCACTTGTTATTCATTATTAAAATCTATTGTTGCATCCAGGACCTGAGCTGGAAAAAATTGATAATTGGATCGAAGAAAACAAGAAAAGGACCGGGATACAGCTTCCAGAATAGATATATTCTATTAAATCTAAATACATAGATGTATGGAATATTCTATAGAATGTAAATATACTAGAAATAAGATTTAATTTAGGAAGATGGTTTAATTGCATTAAACTGGATTTCATTTTTCTGTTTTGGTCATTTTTATAATATTGTATAAAGTTCCTCGTTAGATTTCGAAATATTTTATTAGTTTTTATAGTTTAATGTGACAAAACTACAAAATTAACTATTCTTATTTGACAAAATGTTAAAAACTACTTGTGTGCAAAAGTTTATTTTTTGATTATGAATATTCATTCATTTTGCAAATTGAAGAAAAAAAGCAAATATATTTTGTATTTCTGAAACCATCAATGTTGTCTAAAGGAAACTTAAGATTTCTTTTTTAATCATTAATTAAAAATAAATAATCCATTTCGAAACAAATTAAAACATTTTTCTGTGAAAAGAAGCATACAGCTATTCCACAATAAAGATCATTTGTTAATCTATAATTGATAGATTATTTTTGAATATATATTTTCAATAAAATTTGACAAATTATCCTTCTTGATTTTTTGCGAGATTCTTTTTCCTCAGCTCCCTGAAAAGAGATTAGATAAATACATAAATATGTAGATTGCGGGATCATTATCTAATCAACACCTTTTTCTGCATGTATAAATCACTAATTGTTCTCCGCTTTTTGAGATCAAATTTAAAACTATTGTCACTTACAGTATTAAAACATGTGATGTCATCTCGGAAAGTGTTCTTTATCATCTCAAAGATAATCTGGTGCATGATATCTTTTGTTTGTATCAATGAAGAACCTGTTTATATATATCTTCAAGTGATGTCATTTCCAAGGGAATCAAATTCCTTCAGCTGTTCCCAAGAGAACCCTGTTTTATCTTCAAAATGAACCTTTGTCATCGGGACTTTTCCAAGAGGATTCGTCCAATGAAATCTCTGTCATGACCAAGAGAATCCAGTTTAGCTTCTAGCGGATCCTAAATTTGTCATCTCCAAGAAGAACCTGTGGACAGTGGAATCTTTAAGAGGTTCCGGTGTCATCTCAACCTTGGGGCAGGTTCCTCATGGAGATGACATAGGTTCCTCTTGGAGATAACACATGTTTCTCTAGGAGATAACGCAGGTTCCTTATGGAGGTGAAGCAGGTTATAATTGGAGATAACACAAGTTTCTCTTGGAGATGACGCAGGTTCCTCTTGGAGATAACACAGGTTCCTCGGGGTGATGACACAGGTTCCTTGGGGAGATGACACTGGTTCCTCATGGAGATGATTCAGGCTCCTCATGAAGATAACACAGGTTCCTCGGGGTGATGACACAGGTTCCTCATGGAGTTGACACATGTTCCTCAGGGAGATGACACAGGTTCCTCTTGAAGATAACACAGGTTCCTCGGGGTGATGACACAGGTTCCTTGGGAAGATGACACAGGTTCCTCGGGGTGATGCCACAGGTTCCTCATGAAGATGACACAGGTTCCTCTTGCAGATTAAAAAGGTTTCTCGTGGAGGTAACACACGTTCCAAATAAATATTGACACAGGTTCCTCATGGAGATGACACAGGTTCCTCATGGAGATGACACAGGTTCCTCATGGAGATGACACAGGTTCCTCTTGCAGGCTAAAAAGGTTTCTCGTGGAGGTAACACAGGTTCCTCATAAATATTGACACAGGTTCCATGGGGTGATGACACAGGTTCCTTGGGGAGATGACACAGGTTCCTCATGGAGATGACACAGGTTCCTCATGGAGATGATACAGGTTTCTCATGGAGATGACACAGGTTCCTCATGGAGATGACAAATGTTCCATGGGGTGATGACACAGGTTCCTTGGGGAGATGACACAGGTTCCTCATGGAGATGACACAGGTTCCTCATGGAGATGATACAGGTTCCTCGGGGTGATGACACAGGTTCCTCATGGAGATGATACAGGTTCCTAATGGAGATAGCACAGACTTTTCATGGAGATGACACAGATTTCTCTTGGATGGAGATGAAACAGATTTCTCTTGGAAATCACTTAAGTTCCTTTGGAAATAAAACAGGTTTTCTCTGATTCTCTGAGAGATGGCACATGTGGTAACGATGATTTTACCTCTGATCTCAAATAGCTGAGAAAAAAGAAATTTGTTCAAAAAATATTTTCCAAATAACAATTTAAGCTAAAGTTTTTTTTTTAACTTTTACAATTTATAACAGTTTTACCCTAATGGACGCTACAATCGTTCTAAACTAAATATACAAAAATTCCGTTTAGGCAATTTATTTTGGGGGCCTTTTCTTATGAAATCCTAAATTACCTAAAGCGGCATTGGGTCCGCAAAAGTGTCATACGAGTTTGCTCTTAAACTGTAGTCCCCAACTCCTGGGGTGTTATTAGCTGAAAAATGATAATATGAAGTAGAATTATCAAAATATTTTTAATCATTTGTTTCCATTAACTGGACAAAAAGGAAGAAATAATTCGCACTAAATTAAATTGTTTAAAAATTTTTCAGGCGATATTAATTCCACATATGCAGCAAGTACAATCATTATTTTAACATTTGTTAGTATTTCAGCACTTACAACCAATTAAACAAGTAAATCAGTAAACCTTGAGAACGAATTTAAAGAATTTAAGCCGCGTTTAAAATATTAGATGCTGCTCAAACATGGTTGGTTCCACTTGAAATCAATGTTTTGAGATTTGAGCTGGCGCTCAATTGGGTTTTGGCGGTTCAGCGAAGTGGCGGTTTAAATTCTTAAAATTCAGCTTTTAGTTTGTTAGTTTTCCGTTAGTTTTCCTTTAAAACTTAAAAGCTGAGGAAGATATTGAGAGAGGAAAGAACAGGAAAAAAGATGTTGTATAATATTTATCTAAACAGGAAATCACTAACATATCGACTCTATAAAACTATGAAAATTATGAAAGTTATTCATAGTTTTTAGACCGTCTCTCGACTTTGAAGTGTCGAAACACCTTGGCCTTTGGTTTTACCTCACCAACTCACATATACTTTTTTGTGGCCCTATATATAGACATTCTAAATTTGTTTTTACTAGCTTAAATTGAAATCGAGTAATTGGCAAAATACTTGCTTGAGATCGTGCGCATCTTGGTTTGCATTAAAATGTATTCTCACCGTTTGGCGAGGGTAGTTTTCCCAGAGTTCCTTGTAAACTAAATATTTAATGGTTAGAGCATGAATTGAGTATTAAAAGTACATCCTTTATTCATATATGGCATCTTAAGCTCAAAACAAACATAAACATTCTGTATCTAAAATAAATAATTTGTTTTTATCCAATACCCATCAAAACGGCTGAACCGAAAGGGCCCAGAATTGTTTTGTGGCAATTCACACGACCTCAGTGAAGGTTTATGGATGGTAAAAAATAAAAAAATACCGGAAAAATGTTCACATTTCTTATTTTTTAAAATAAGCAAAAATAAAAGCTTGAAGTAAAACGGTTAGCAGCAATAATTGTTATTATCTATGGTTATTGGTTATTATAGATAAATGTCCGTAAATGAATAATTTGTCCAAACAAAGAAGATATTATGACAAAACAATTAATTTTATTTCACACCTTCTCTCATGTATTTTGTAGTCATCATATTTGGAATATTATCATGACAGATATTTGAAGCGATTTCTATTTCTTCTTTTTAATTAATATTATTATTATTTTTACCTAGGATCAACTGCATCATCAGTCTCTAGCAGGAAGTCTCCATCCTGCAAAATAAATTATTTTGATTTTAAAAACTTGAAATTCTCGGTTTTGGGCCTGAAAAAATATCAATCGCTCTAATTTCATTAATAGAAACTTTAATTGAAAGTATAGAATGAAAATTGAAAAAAAGTTTGTACAGTATTATACCTTTTTTGTGTGAATTATAAAAGCCAAAAAATTCCCCAAACCATTATGACAAATTCTATGTTCTCTTAGCTCATATTCTGTCCTTGCTCTTATTCTTATACTTACGGCGCCACAAAATGCATAATTGTTAATGTGGGTTATAGCTTGAAATTATTCTATTTGAAAGTTTATGAAAAGGCAGTATTGAGAAGAGTCGAGAGTCTAAGTGGAACTTAAATTCTGATTTTTGTACTTTCCCTTGAGCCAGACCTTTGTGTGAGCTAGGAAATGTTTGGTTTGGATGCAGGAGAGGATGGTTGAAAGGAGGAGGATCCAGGACACAAGGTGAAATCTCAACATTCTCTACACAACTGAGTTTATTCAATAACTCAGCACTCTGGCAAATTAACATCGTAAATATTAATTGTAACGTGATCTTCTCATTATTTTTACTGGGAACATTTTTCTCCATAACACGCTTGTCCGAGTTCTGTAATCACTGGTTTAAAAAATATGGTTTAATTTTAATTACTAAGTGTATACTTTAGGTGCATGAAAAACTCATTTTAACTTATGTTTAAATTTAATATTATTTTATAATTTTTCCTTATTTCAAAAATGATCGTCTTGGCCACATATCGTATTTAGTCTGCAGATTAAAAACTGTCAAATTTGCAACAATTTTAATCTAACACAATAGCACAAGGTATGTTTATATATTTCCTAATATGCTTTTTTGTCAAAATTATGGTTTGAATATTGTTTATCAATTGAGCGATTGTTTATGAATGCTGATAAACTGTAATACAAGGAACAATATAAGAATATTTTCTTTTTTTTCAATAACTCATTAAGAATGAATATTTATTTGGTTCTCAAACATGGTATTTCCAGGTAAATTTTTGAAATTTTATACCTTCCCTTAAATGAATTTTTAAGGGATGGAAAAAGAACTCAATTTTGTGGTTGTACACTGGTAACAAGCGGACAATATATTTTACAACAAAAAAATATAAATGTTAAGTGAGGAATGAAAAAAACCAATTTCTAATTTTGCAGCCATTCATAATACACAAATAAAAAGGAATTGATATATTTTGAAATGTAAGAACCAGTAAATCTATAATAAAGATATATCAACAGAAGTTTTTTATCAACGAAAGTTGTTATTATCATAAAGATGTTGTTTTTAATCATTAATTAGACTTATTGAAT